CTATAGAGTTGAGATCTCTTACGCTTACATCTATGTACCAGAGGTTGGTCGGAATTCTGATTTCCAACAGTTCCAATTTCCGATAGTTTCAATTTTTGACAGTTCCGATTTCCGATAGTTCCAACTTTGACAGTTCCGAGTTCTGACAGTTCCAAGTTCCGACAGTTCCGGTTTCCGGCAGTTCCGATTTCCGACAGTTCCTATTTCTGACAGTACCACTTTTCGACACCTTCATTTCCGACCGACCTCTGATATGTACGTTCGTGTGGGTATACTATAACAAGATTCGATGGAACTATTTTTTATTCAATTTTCAGGCTTATTGGCCTTACTACGGACGTTGAAATTTGCTTGATTTTTATTATTGAAATTAAAATGCAAAACCCATATTTTCTTTCTTGGTGTTTTTCTTCTCTCAATTCTTTCTAAAAATTAATTTTAAAAAATCAGAAAATTTCTACTTCAAAAATTAAAGAAAATTTTTTAGTTATTTTTTGCAGAAAATAAAATTTAACTGCTCAATAATTCTCGAAAATTTTTATTTTTTTAAAAAGTTGTATTTTGCATTATTTTTCATTATTGTTCTTGCCTCTGCCACATTTTTTTGTCTCCATTTATTTTTAAAAAATAAAGAATAAATAAATTTTTAAGATTTTTAAATGATTTTTAATTTTGAATTCTTAGGAACCTATTTTTACTATGGACATTGAAATTTAATTTTAATCTGGTTAGCAACTCCCTCTACTCCATCTTAATCCTTCAATACTTCGATATCATCCCCACATCCTTTTAATCTCATAATATCCTTCATACCGCCCCTCACCCCAAATCCACAGGTGTTTTTCTCTACTTGAGATGATGTCATGAGATTTGAGGTCTTTCCAATCCTCCATGAGATTTGGAGGGATTAAGTAGGATATCAGGGGATTTAAAATGAAGCCAAAGGATTTGGAGAGAAAAATTATATATTTGATCAAATATTTGATAATTTTTCGTCGATTTATTTGATTTTAATTTGATTTTCCCGATCTGCCATATCCATCCATTTTTCGTCATATTTGAGATATATCTCATAAAGTACGATTTTTTCGGTATCTGTATCTATAACAGGGCTGGACGCAACTGTGGATTGCGGATTGCTCGAAATTGCGTTTTTTGGCCCAGCGGACTGCGACTGCGGAATTTTCAGTTGCGTCCAGCTCTGATCTAGAAGCGAGGGTAAAAAGGTAAATTTATCTTAAGTGTCTTACAAAATTAACAAATTTAATTTTTAAAAACAAAATTATAAAAAAATAACTAATAAAATAAATTTTTCAATTTAGTATACTATGTACATATACAAATTATAAAAAATTAAAAATATTATTTGAGTGATTGGTCAATAAAGCAACCAAAAATATCAGAAAATACTAAAAATAATATTTTTACAAAAAATAAATCCCTAGGGTAACAAAAATGAATTCTTTTCTTCTTTCAATATTTTTCAAGACCAATTGTGTGGATATTTTCTTCAAGAAAAAACTAAAAATAAAATTGCCCTATTTTTTGCTTTTTTTTGTTCTTTAACTATATTTCCCCTACTCTTGTCTTTTGCTTTTAATCTAAGTCCTGCTTTATCTTCCTTCTCGTATATTTAGATGAAGAAGCTCCCCTCCCTCCCTGCTACCCCACTCTCCCTCCCTAGCTTCCCCCCCCCCCCCCCCCCCACTACCCCTCATCCCCCCTCCTCTCCCTAAAAATATATCAGAAACAGACACACACACATTTCCACCCTCCAAAAATTGCCAAGAGAGTTTTTAGCCTTTTAGCAGTTTTGGTCCTTCCTAAAGTCCTTTAATTCCTCAACTAAGCCTTGTTTTCTGATGGCGCTGATTGTCTCTATGAAGGAAGAAAAAAAGATTTTTTGAGGCTTTAAGGGAGAGAATGACTAAAAAATGAAGAAGGAGAGAGTCGTCTGTCCTTTCATGCAATGACTCAGTTTTTAGTGTTGCCTACTTTTATGGCTAGAAACACACAACTGTTGTTTTTTACCTTCCTAAAATTTCTTCAATAAATGTTTCACACATTTTGTGTTAGAGAGGAAAACGTGTTCAAAAACTTTAAGTTTTGTTAATTCCAAAAATTATATTTTTTACTCTTATTAATCAAAAATTTGTTCATTTTTATTAAATTTCCGATTAAAAATTTCAAAACAAATTTGTCAACAATATACCGTCAAAATTCAATAATTTCCCCTTCTCATTTAATTACCCCCTCTAGCCAGGGTGGCCCCTTCCAAAACACTAAAATAGGGCGCAGCCACTTAAAAATAGGGCAAATATAGGGCGAAATCGGCCAAATATAGGGCAAAAATTAGGGCATAGCTTTAAAAGCTTAAACATAATTAAAATTTAAAATAAAGCGAAAATTTTGGAAGGCCAAGAAGCCACATTTCACCCATCTTTAGCGCCGCAGGCAAAAATTTGAGGATTTTGGGAGGCTGAAGCCAAATTTCTTCCATTTTTGCGCCGCGGGCAAAAATTTTGAAGATTTTGGAAGGCCAGGAAGTTAGAAATCCTTCATTTTTACCATTTTTTAAACAAAATCCGAAGAATTTTTTAAATTTTACAAGATTGTAAAAATAGGGCAAAAATATGGCAAATGAGAAAATAGGGAAAAAATAGGGCAAAAAGGTCAAAAATAGGGAAAATCCTCTAGAAATAGGGTAAAAGGGCCACCCTGCCTCTAGCATGAGTTGAAGCAATAATTACACAAGGTATTTATTTGAGCGTATACGGTATCTTGAGAGTATCGCTTGCCAAAACAAGCCAGATATACCCTATATAGTCGGACCTCACATGACGCTCAGCCACCCTCGGCGTCAGGGCTGAGCGTCATGCGTTTTGCGTTTGGCGTCCATTTTTGGCCTATTTTTGGCGTTTAGCGTTCGGCGTTCCACGCGAAAATTTTATCCTACAATGAGTTTATCTTAACTTGGAGATATCAAGGTCCCCCTATTCATGGCCAACCAAATTTTGAAATCGTCTCTTAAATGGAGATGCATCCATTATTGGAACTATCTTATAAAGCGGTTCGACTTCCTTTTACATACTTTTATTTGTCTATATATATTTTTAGCTTTTAAAAAAGCGTTAAAAAAAGTCTTGGTATAGTCTCATCCCTCCTACTTCATTTTGCGCCATTTTTCAGCTATTTCATCGGTATTTTTCTCTTTTTTGAGAAAAAATAAAGTAAAAAAGGAAGGGAGCAGCCAAAAGCACAAAACTCTGTTTGATGCTTCCACAAAAATGCCATGACAATTTGGCATGGTTTTTCCCCCTTCTTTTCCTTAAGGATTTCAATCCTTTAGCGCCCTCCAAACTCTTTAAAAATAAAAGCAGTGCCCAAAATTTCGATTCTTTGTTGGCACTCCCGCCAATAGTCGTCCACTCATTTTTGCTTTAAATAGCTGCCCCTAACAAATAACCACATAGCCTCCTACTTTTTGTCGTCTTTTGCTGCTTATTTTAGAGCATCTTTTATCCAACACCAAACGTTGCCAGGTGGAGAATGAAGAGAAAATAAATCCAAAAGTGTGGTCCTCAACATTTTTACTTTTTTTTTCTTGGCCATCTTTTTATTTTTGGACGATTGTCCGGTGGAGGTAAATGCCTTTAATTCTTTTACATTTCTGACAACTAAACAGTTGCTACATATTTTATATTTAAGTCGATCATACACATTCTGTTTTTAGCGTAATTTTTGTTAGATTTTGTTTTATATTTGAAGGAATTGTACAGTCGGACCTCACTTATAGGAACAGAAATTTTGGCCGGAACCGGACCCAATTTGAGTTCCGTATCCCGAAACCGGAGCTCTCCAGCTCGGAACTGGAACCGGAACTTCCGGTGAACCTCTTTATGGAGATATCTTTGGGGCTGAAAAATTGTCTCTTATAATGAGCTGTATGTTAAATAGAAGGTATCTCTTAGGATGCTTCTCTCTATCCAGCAGCCAATCAAACTTAAAAAGCGTCTCTTAAATAGAGGTTTATCTACATAGTATCGGGGGATCTTGCTCTCTTTTGGATGCATCTTTGGGTTGAAAATTATCTCTTATAATGAGCTGTCTCTTAAATAGAGAGTTTCCCTTAGGAAGCTTCTCTCTATCCAGTAGCCAACCAAATATTTAAAAAGCGTCTCTTAAACAGAGGGTTTCTAGTATTGGGGGTATCTTACAGTTAGGTTTGACGGTATTAAATACAGTCTACAAGCGACTTCAGTATACTTTATCCAAAAGATCCATTGGAAACAAAGGATCTGTTCTGGATAATTTAACTAAATAAGGCCATTCAACAGCAACAATTATAGCCCTTCTCTACTCATCTATACACAGCCTATTTCTCCAAATCCAATCTCTAATCCAGTCTTATGCTCAATTCCCAATGACTTCTTTATGTCCATCTGGTTTATTCTCTTCACTAATTTGTGAATGAATTAGCTATTTGTATTTAGTTTTTAAATATGTACTAGCTTCTTTCTACGTAATCCTGGGTACGGAAGCTTGTCTTAATTATGAAAAATTTAAATTAGAAAAATTATTGACCTTGCCGGGGTCTGAAACTCCTTTAAAATGCACTTACCCGTGATTCTTTATTCAATTGTTGTCATTGTCCAGCTGTTTTGCTGTACCTTTTGTCTTGCTGTTTCATTGTTACAGCGCCCTTCAGGGCAATTAGGAATGTCCGCAACAGGGCTGGGGAAATCTAAATAAAAAGCGAAATGCGAAACTTTTCGCGCTGAAAAATGTCAAGAAAACGAAGGATGCGGAAAGCGAAATGCGAAATTAGCCCAGCCCTGGTCCGCAAGTTTTTTCCGCTTGCGGACTGCCCCCAGCCTTTAAATTTCAATTTTAAAATTTATCTAAAATTTTCTTTCCATTCCAGGCCAGATTTTTATTTATTTATTGTTAGTTAGTAGAGAACTGTAAATCAACGTTTTCGAGTGATTCGTAGCGAATAACACCAATTATTAACAACAAACTAACATAGCCAAGATGGGTGTGTTAACATTAAACATCGAATGCCATGAAAAGGCTATCAAGAAAACTATGCAGTTTGAGCCAAGGACGCTCGTCCACGATGCTTGCCGAATGGTTAGGGATAAATTAGGTCCAATGCATGGAAATCGTGGGTGTTTTTTCTAGTATTTTCTACATCTATCTAATTTTTAAGCCAACGATTACGGCCTTTTTCGGGTAGAAGATGACCCAACAAAGTGTGTTTGGATGGAAAATGGGCGAACTTTGGAATATTATTTGATTCGTAATGGGGTTAGTTTTATGTGGAAAAATTTTTTTTTAATTTTTTTCTACAATTAGGACACGTTGGAATACAAAAACAAAATTCGGTCACTTCGAGTGAGAACATTAGACGGGGGAGCAGTTAAAACAATTTTTGTTGATGAGTCACAACCAGTTTCTCAATTAATGGTTTAATTTTATTATTATTTTTAGGAACTTAAAAACCTACCTATATGATTCACTTCCTGGAGAGAGGATTTCAAGGGCATATCCAGGTTTCGGATCAGAGCTGGGCGAGAATAGAATTTCGCTCTCGACGAAAACGAAACAAAAAATTTTCGACCAGCTCTGGTTCGGATTTCATTTGAGGCTAAAATGGTGTGTGCCAATATTTTCGGCGTTTTAAACGCTAAATTATTTTTATTTTTTAGCGCCATAGGCGAAAATTTTGAGAAATTTTATCTTATATCAAAGTGGACCTTAAATAGAAGGTATTAAATAGGAGGTATCGCTCCAGTGACTAACCAATTTAAAGAGATTCTTAAATTTAGTATCCAATTTTGGGGCTATTTTTAGATGAGGTCTGACTGTAGGTAATGGTATTTTTCTTAACTTTGCCTCATGAAAAATAAGGGAGAAAGGGAAGGAAAAATGAAAAAATGGTCAGAAAAAAGAGGGGGTACGAAACCGATTATTACCCGACTCTATAATATCAACTTAAAGGTTGTTATTTGCTCAAAAATGGGTATCGCAAATCACGACGAATATTCACTTGTTCGAGGATTTTCCCCTGCATTAGATGGAAATGATGAGAATGGCTACGGACGTGATCAACACCAGCAAATTCAACGAAATGACAGGGAAAGAACCCCTTATTCAAACGGCACAGATCAATACGATGGGGGAACAAGAAGTTATCAGAAAGGAAAAGGGGGCATAGAAAATACTTTTATGAATACAATTGGGCGTAAAAAGGAACGTCAAATACAACAATTAAGGTTAAAATTTTGTAAAGTTTTAATAGTTTAATAAAATTAAAATAATTTTTTGGAATTTGTAAAGAAGTCACGGCTCTTTTTCAGTAGTTTTTAGTAGAGTTTGAATCCTGCAAAAAACCGGGTTTTCGGGGTTTTCCCGGAAGACCCGGCCCGGGTCGAATTGGAAGGAAAAAACCCCGGATACCGGGTCTGGCAAATTGAAAAGTTTGAACTCTAATTTTCAGTGACCCTTATATGTACCTTTCTCTTTGCTTTTCTATTGATTGAGATAACTTGGGGAACTGATCATAGGAAATAAATATTCGATAGGATAATCTTGCATACTTCGAATTTAAATTTTTCCGACATTTTTTTTGTAAAATTAAATAAATTTCGAATTTCAAGTTTTTCTCCTGTTTCCTATTTCTAGGAGAAACACATCAGAAAAAGTGCCCAAAAAGTTTCATTTTCTTTACATGATGCTCCCCATCTTATCATAATTAAACATAATTTTTATCAACAAAAAATTATTTTTTAGAGCAAAATTACACACTGAAGAAGAAATTCATTGGGTAGATCATTCAAAAACTTTGCGTGAACAAAACATTGGAGATAATGAAGAATTGACTTTAAGAAGGAAATTTTTCTTTTCTGATACAAATGTGGATACAAGAGATCCTGTCCAATTAAATTTGGTTCTCAAAAAAATTTTTTCTAAATTATTTCCCTATAGTTATATATTCAATGTCGTGATGGTGTTCTTCGTGGTTTACATCCAGTTAGTAGGGATACGGCAATTAAATTGGCAGCGTTGCAATGTTATATTGAATATGGGCCTTTTGAAGAAGGAATACAGAGAAATGTTGATGCAAAAAATTTATTGCCAAAAGAATATTCGAGGGCGAAAGAACTTGAAAAAAATATTATACAGGTAATTTCTAATTGAAAATTTTTAGTACTACATAGTCTCGTCCGTTTTCTCCCATTTTTTCATTCATTCATGGGTTTTATAGGTGTTTTTGGGTTATGTAATATTGTAGAGGTTTGGACCTGTAGAAGCTTGACCATCCTCTGTGAATTACATAACTGATGGTCATTTGCAGCGCTTGGAATCAAATTTGCTCATATCCCCCTAATTTTGTCCTCGAATTACGAGGTACTATAATTAACAGAAGCGTTCAAGCACTGTTATATGTAAGCCTTTGTAAGCTTTTATATGAGTGTTCAAGCCTGGTCATTTATTCTTGGGTTTATTGTTAGTCGGAAGAAACCTGGTTTTCCATGTCTCAACCCCAAACATTTTTACAGAATTATGGATATCAAAAAAAATTCCCTAGAACCGTTAATTATAAACGAGACTTGCCACTTTTTAAAAATAATTTTAAAAAGTTTATATTTTACAGGAATATCGTGAATTAATTTATGAAGATTCTGCTGCCCCAAAAAAGAAATATTGTGAATTATGTCAATCATTGCCAACTTATGGAGTTTCTTTCTTTTTGGTTAAAGAAAAAATGCCTGGGAAAAACAAACTTATTCCACGTTTATTGGGCGTTAATAAAGAATCTGTGATGCGTGTGGATGAACGAACAAAAGCTGTTTTGAAAGAATGGCCATTAGAACAAGTAAATTCTTTTGCGGATTTTAAAGTCAAAACGCAGAAGACTGCTGAGCAATTCCCCTCTCCCCTAGATGAGCAAAAAGTGTGAATCACCAATAAATCACTAAAAAATTTTTATCGGCGGCTCTAAAAGGGGGATTTTCTGCCTTCTGGGTCATCCAACGGTTTTTTTCATTTTGCTACCAAAAAAATTCATGATATCCCCTCGTTATGAGATTAGAAAACTTTTTAAATATTTTTAGGTTCGTCGATGGGCTGCTTCATACAAAACTTTCACCTTGGATTTTGGTGATTATAAAGATGGCTATTATTCTGTTCAAACATTGGAAGGCGAAAGAATTGGACAACTTATAGGCGGTTATATTGATATTATTTTAAAGAAAAAAAGAATTGTTGACCATACTGGAATTGAAGGAGATGAAGGAGCTACAATGGTTATCTTTGAATTATTTTTTAATTAACCTTACTTAAAGGTAGAGGATATTGTCGCTCCAGCGAGGGCAACATTGCTTGCCCATAGCGAGCCAACACCGATAATGGCACAAGAGCCTGGTGGTACAATGTATGGAATTTACAGGCCAGAAGCTGGAACTCCTCCACAGGGTTATTTTGAGGGGACATTTTTTGTCTAAAAATTTTAATATTTAGCACCCCAATATGGAGGAGTTAGTGGAATGATATTAGCACAGAGAATGCCTAAAGGTGAAGACATTCGCTATTTGGATTCTAGAGAAAGGAGCCAACGAGCGCTTGTGGGAACTATTGAAGCGACTATAAGGGCTGTTGAAGAAGCTGAAGAGGAAATTGCCAAACCCCCACAAATTGATCTTCCAAGGTTCGGAGAAACTCAACGTCATTGGAGGGTAGAAGTTGAGAAGGAATCTGTTGGGGATAGATTGGCTGCAATGGGTGCCGCTACAGCTGAAGTATAAAATTTTTAGGAGAATTTTTAAAAAATAAAAATATTAGGTAGTACAACTGACAGCTATCCCAGAAGAATCAGCTGTTGATACTCGTGTAGGGAATGCAATCGCCACAATTGGTTCCAACCTTCCAGAAATGGGCCGGGGAGTCCGTGAATTGGCTGCTCTAATGCCTGATGAACATCGTGCTGGGGATTTAGTAGATGCTGCTCGAAAACTTTGCAATGCTTTTGGAACTTTCTTGGATAAAGTTCACCCAGAACATCAAGAAAAACGTGCAAATATACTTTCTGCAGCTAGCCGTGTTGGTGAACTTTCAAATGATGTTTTAAGTACAATTCAAGAGAGGACAGAAGAAGAGCTTTCCTTCCATGATGAACTCAATAGGAAAGCTCGTGCCGTTGCAACAAGTACAGCACAGCTTGTATTGCAGTAAGAAAACTAATTAAAATTCAAAAGATATTTTTGAATTAATTAAGAGCAAAAACAGTTTCGGCTGATTGTGATGACCCTGGACTAAAAGATCAAGTGATTCAAAGTGCAATGAAAACAGCATATGCAACTTCGGAATTGGTTGCATGTACCAGAGTTGTTGGTCCAACAATCGAACATCCACCATGCAAAGAACACTTAACGGATGCAGCTCATTGCGTAGCTAGAGCAGTTCACGAACTTTTGGAAGATGCAAGCAAAGCCTCACAACAAGCTCCACCTGAAAAAGCTGAAAATTTTGAGCATCTTCGCGAATCTGCTTCACGTGTTACTAATGCTTTAGATGATATAATTGGACATGTGCAAGGCGGTCCTTGGGGATATCATCGGAAAACGCAACAGGATTACACATTTGAACGTTTGTTTACCTGTCTTTAGCTGACCGATTTCTGTTTTTTGTAGAAATTGTTGAGTCGTCAAATCGTATATTGGCACATCCTGGAGGTGCTCCTCCCGAATTATTCCGTTATTCTGAAACAGCAATTCGAAATTCACAAATGTTGGTCGATGGGATGGAACAGGAAGCTAATAAACTTGATTCAGTTCAGCAAAGGGAGAAGTTACTGAATGCAGCACGTATTTATTTTTAAATTTAGTCGGTTACTAAATTTGATTTTTTGAAGGTTCGGTGGCGCAAGCAACGAGTTCAATGATTGACGCTACAAAAGAATGTCAAAACCGACCGGGAGAGGCTGAACCGCAGCTAGCGCTTAAAAGTGCAACGTCACAACTTGTTCAGGTTTCTATAAAAATTCTTAAAAATATATGTTAAGCGAATATTTTATATTTATTTTATAATTGTCATTTAGCCAGCAAATCGACGAAGAGAAGCAAAGGCCAGCTGAATAGGTCACAAATGGTGCCAAAGCCATTTATCAGATTAAAAGGCTATATTTTTCTCTAAATCTTTCCTTCTATCTTATTTTAGACTTTTTAGTATTAGTAGAATAATAATATTAAGTTAATACATTATCTAGTTTCTCTAGTCTGATCACATCTTTTTTATAATATATTGCAATATTTGTTAAATCTCGGAGTTATTATTAAAGGGGGTGGCCTTTATGCATCAAGTCTCGATTTCTAGTTAAAATCCTAACTCTAATATGCTCATATATTAACTACCATGCTCATTCTCATCTTCTATCTTGGACCTTTTGCTAACAATAAGTTTAAGTTACTTTACTTGAATCATCTGCCATTTTTATTACATTAACATGGAAATTAATCATTTTCTTCTATATATTACTTTGTTTCCCACACATATCTTCCTTTTATATCTAATCCAAAATACATACATGCTTCTGTCATTTTATGTAGTATGAATTTATAAAAAATAAATTTGTTCTAAAAATTGCCTTGATAAAAAATTGGTATTTACACAAAATTATGGTCAAATCGGAAGCTTTAATGCGGTTCATGTCCTGCACCTTTTTGGGTGAGATTTTTCCCTATACTTTTTCTTAACTTGCTGTGTCTTATACTTTGTTTTGTTTCGCTTTAATTTTAATATATAACATGGCTTTGGCAGACCTCATTCAGCTGGAACTTTGAAAACTTCTCTTTTCTTTTGATGATTTATTGTTAACATTATTGGGGTGATCTAACACATTTTTTTGTATTTTTGATGTGTTCTTTAATCACATTTTGAATGTATATACTGATATTCTAGGCAACTAACCATGCGACGATTGATAGACAAATAAGACAAACAATACAACAATTGGAAAAAGTGGCCAAAGAAGTTGCGTCTGCCACTACTCAAACAATTGCTGCTGCAAATTCGGTATGAGACAAAAAATTTTTTAATCTAAAAATATTTTCAAAGGCTCGCCCTCATATTCACAACGAACAATTCCTTCACGTTTTAGTCCAAGAATGTGTAAATACTGGTAGATATGTCCCTCCATTGGTTCAGAGAATCAAAGAAAATCAAAATGCTAAAACTCCTGTTGAACATTTTAAGGCGGTTGGACAACTTTTTCTATAAATTTAGAAACAATTATACTCATTTTAGCATGTCGGATTAATTCATGAATGTCAAGCTTTTGTTCAACCATCTGCAAATTTGGTAGATCTTAGTCGATCAGCTGTTCCTTATGTTGAAGATAAACATGCTTCTGGCATTCTTTTACGGACTAGCCAACAACTTTCGGTTTAGAAGGAATTTTTCTGTTAAAAAATAAATTTTAGGTATATGTTGCTGAATTGAGAACAGCAGTAAATAATGCACAACAATTAGATTTTGAACCTTATCTCGAACATTCTGAAGAATTTATAAATTCATTGGATCACAAATTACAACAGGTTGCCCAACAAATTCGTTCAGGATATCCAGTTCAACATTCCTGTTCTTCTCTTGATATTGAAGGGACTACAAATTCTCTGAGAAAACAATCGAGATTATTAAATTCTGCGGTAGCCCAAATGGTTTCTGCAGCATATGCTTCTGAACGCCGGCGAGTAAGTATAGCTTCTATGGAGCTTGTGCAGTCACTTGGAGATTTTACTGAATCAGTTACGGACGTCGTTGCTGCACGACAAGAACAAAAAAGGGATTTAATTTCTTTGGAAAGGTTTTATACGAGTTTTTAAAGAGTATTTTTATAACCTCTCCCTTTAAGTTTAATTTTGAATGCGAGGTCTGTAGTCCATGATTCAAGCCGTATTTTTGATCGTATTCGTGAGCGTAACTCCCAACAATTAGAAGAAGCAGCTAGAACGGTAACTGAGTCGCTCAGAAGAACACTAGCTGCACTTCCTGGCGATGTACACGTTGAACAGGCTGTTAGTAACTGTTTAAAGAATCGTCTAAATGCCCTCTTTTAGATTGAAAAGTTGCGCAATCTAACAACAACATCAATCTCATCACCATCTTCGCCAACATCCACAAATCTTCGAGCATCTGCCAATCAATTGGTTGAAGATGCTGATCGTCTTCTACATTGTGTACATTCTTCAGAAACTGAGAGCCAAAAAGGTGTGGAACGCTTCTCGAACAGCTTTGGACAATTTTATTCAATTATTGCTGACCTTGCGCAAAGACAAAATGAACGTAGGAACCAATCTTCTCTTGATGGATTAATTAATATCAGAGATGAAGCAATTGATTTGTTGGACCGATTCAGATTTTTACAAGCTGATAAAAGCAATATTTCGTTGTCTCAAGTAAATTTCTTAAATAAATTTAAAAGTAAAAATTTTCTAGGCACTTTCAACATCCTGCCGTCAATTTTCTCTTAATGTTTGGACTTTAGTAGAGCTTGTAGAAACTCATGGTTCGGGCAGTGCGTGGGTCCGAGAGTGTGATCAAGCTCTCCAAAAAATTAAAGCCATCAGACATCTCTTCGGCCCAGAAGAAAAATCATCAGCACCCTATACATTAAGCATACCTCTGAATGGAAATAGTTATTATGAGTCTTTAGCTGAAGTTACAAACGAAGCACGAAATTTAGGAGATGGTTTCTTTATATTTTTAGTCTTTAGGAAGCTTAATTTTAAGGAATGAACGGTTTGGCTCATTATGCTAGAAGAGATGATACTGAACAACTTTGTCTTGCTGTTCGTAAAGTGGCAGATGCAGTTTGTGGATTGGCAAAGAATGCTGCTCAATCTGTTCGTAAACCTTTAAAATCTTCTTAATATCTCACCGTCTCTTTTTTAAGGCTTATTTAATTGGTGTTGGAGATACTTCAAGTGAACCTGGACGAGCTGCAATTTATGATGTCAACAAATATCAATATTCTATAGAATCACTTCAGCAGGCAATTGGTCGTCTAAATAATTCGATTAGTTCTGGTGATAAACAGCAATTATTGGATGTAATTTTCTAAAGATTTTTTATCATTCTCTTAAAATTTATCTCAGAATGTCTCAACATTCACTATGCATAGTTCTGATTTAGCCAGTATTTGTCGTGATGCTTCAGAAAAATCTGCAAATATTAGTGTACGCTCTAAACTTGTTAATAGTGCTGTTGAACTGACTAGTATAACTGCTGCTTTAATAACTGCAGTTAAAAATATTGATAAAAATTCGAATAAAGAATTTGATGAGTGTTTACTTCAAATAAACAAGCTGCGTTCTTCTGTGGATAATTTACAAAAGTTTTTGGATAATCCCGATTTTGGACCCATTCCAGCTAAAATTTCTGTTGCTGGAAGACAGGCACAACAACCACTAATTGGATCATCAAGAAAAATGTTGGATGCTAGTTCTGAAATGATTGGGTAATTTATGAGGGGTTTTTCATTATAAAAAATTTTTTTAGAACAGCAAAAGCTTTAAACGAGAATCCTTCTGATGCATCTATTTGGCAACAAATTGCGAACAATTCCAGTATTGTTTCTGAATCAATCAAACATTTGGTAGCTGCAATACGTGATGAAGCTCCAGGACAGGCTGATTTGGATCAAGCTATTAATATTCTCAGCCAACTAATTCAACAAGTAGACAATGCTTTTATGGCAGCAGCACATAATGAACAACCTAGAGTTGAAGCTACTACGGAAAGTACACATCAACAAATATTACACAGTTTACGCCAGATGCTTGACATTATAGATCCTTTAAAAATTGCTGTAATTTCTTTTAGGCTTTCGAAATCCAGGCAATTTTTAGGCTATAAGTCATGCAGAAGCTATTGGTCGTAATGTTCGTCAACAATTAGCATCAGCCCAAACATTGGCTCAAGCTTGTATTCAAGCTGCATTACTCTCTTATGATTCTCGTACACAAGCAAATGTATTTGAACAGTGTAAAACTGTTTTGGAATCAAGCATTCAATTAATGTTTGCCACTAAAGATTCTGGTTTTCTCTCCTTAAAAAATTTTTTAGTCGAAAAAAAAAATTTTAGGGGGTAATCCAAAGGCTGTGGAGTTACATACAATTGTAGAAGAGAGTGCTGAACAACAACAATCAGCACTTCTTGACTTGCAACGTTTAATTCAACAACTTGATTCTGAAAATGGTTTGGTTAGTGGTCTTATTGATGGAATTTCTCGTTCAATTGCTGTTGCTGATAAAACACAACAAGTTTCTCCTGGAGATTCGTTGGCCGATATACAGGTTTTATATCGGCACATAATTTGATTTTACCCTTGTCTTTCAGGCTCGAATGGTTTCCCTTTTAAATATTATTGGTCAAACAGCGTCAGATGTCCCACTTTCTAAACCAACTGAAATGGGCCAACTTTTCCTTCAATTAGACGAACATTTTCGGTCTTTGTCCGAAGATTCACGAGTTGCACAAAGTTTGATGAGTTTTTCAGAATTAGGACAAAGGCTTAAATCATGCGTACAAAATTTGGGTATGGCTTGTATTGAATTGGTAAAACTTGGTGCTAGGCGACGAAATTTCCCTAACGATCAAGTTTGCTTTTTAAATGAAACACTGATTTGTTATATTTAAGAGAATATTTAATCAATTATCACAACAATCATCAGTTATTGAAGAACGTATTCGAGAGATACTTGTAGTTCTTTCAGAAGGTGCGCGTGGGACACAAGCTTGCATTAATGCCGCCCAAACAGTTTCTGGCATCATTGGTGATTTAGACACAACAATAATGTTTGCTACGTCTGGATCTTTGAATCCACCTACTGCCCAACATGAAGTTACAGCTGTTTCCCCACCTGTAGTTGATCACCGTGATGTTATTCTCAGAACTGCTAAGGTCTAATTAAATTTTTGAATCTTTTTGCAAATTTTTAAATTTCTAGGCGCTCTTTGAAGATACAAAAGCTTTGGTGAGTGGGGCAGCGTCCAATCAAGAACAATTGGCAGTTGCTGCTCAAAATTCTGTTCGCTCAATTCTTCAATTAACAGAGGCCGTAAAAAGTGGGGCTTCTAAACTTTCCCCAGATTCCACAGAAGCTCAAGTCATGGTTGTTTTGAGCGATAAATTTAGAACATAAACCTATTTATCAGATGATTCATGCAGTTCGTGACGTTGCATCAGCTCTTTCTAATCTCATACAAGCAACAACACATGCTTCGGGAAGAAGTCCAAACGATCCGGCCATTGGAAACTTAAAAGAAGCTGCAAAGGTTATGGTTTCGAATGTTAGCAGTTTGTTAAAAGCAATCAAAACGATCGAGGATTCATCTCAACGAGGCGCTCAAGCATTGGAAGCAGCGATTAATGCAATTGATTTGGCTGTTAAGGTACAAGGGGGCGTATCCGTGGCTTGTGGGCATCATTAACTGGGTACTTTCACTTACGTTGTTAGAGAGGAGGATAGGAAAGCAAAATTTTGGGTGAGAAATACTGGATATCAGCCCCATCCTCTAAACGATCTTTCTGGATTCGCCCTGAGTCTTTACTATCTTATCATTTTAAATTGAAATGCTTTCATTTTTAGCAATATAATAATAATGAAATGCCTATTCGTCACGCAGCTAATGGTGAAGATGTTATTCGAGCAAGTCGTGCTACCACAGTTGCAGCAGAGAAAGCTGCCGGTTCTGCCTCACTTTTACACCAAGAAAATGTTATTGCAGGTTTTTTAGTTAAAAAAAACTCTTTTACTAATTTAAATTTAGCGGCAAATTTGGCCAGACAATCAGTTGGCGATTTACTTGGAACAGTTCGAACAGCCTCATTAAATGCTACTAATCCCGATTTAAAATATAAAATGTTAAATTCTGGGAGAGAAGTAGCTCTACAATTAAAGAATTTGTTGGTTAATATTTTACAACTTTATTCACGTCCTGACCATCCAGCAACGAAACAGGCTGTTTTAACTGCTGCTAAAGAAATTTCTAAAGTATTTTTTTGCTTGTTGAAAAATTTTTTTTCTAAAATTTTTTAGTTAGTCGGACAATTGTCTTATTGTGGCGAACAGTTACACTCTTCAAGTCCAAATCCAGAAGAGAAACCTCTACTTTTGGCAGAAAATGAATTATTAGGTGCTGCTAGTTCAATAGAGGCGGCGTCCAACAAACTTTCACAGATGCGACCACGTCAAGTTCATGTAAATAAATTTTTTCTTTTAAATTACTTGAAATTCTACAAAATTCTGCTACATATTTATTATTTTCTTCTATAATTTAATTAACAACAAAAAAAATTTTCTTCAAAAAAATTTGGACGGGATCAGCTCTGATATGTCTTGTATTCTTGGGTCTGCGTTTAACGCTAAAAAATTTAAATATTTGAAGAGGAACCCATTATGCATGGCATATCCGACTGGTTACTTGTCCTTGAAATTTGCAACAATTTTTATTTTTATATTAATTCATCCATGCAAAATTTATTTTTTTCTTAAATAAAAAAATTCTTTTTCAGAAAGCCGATGAGGATCTAAAAAATTTACCTTTTGACGAACAAATACTTTCTGCTGCGAAATCAATAACAACAGCTGTGCAAATATTAGTTAAGGTATGGAAATTATTTTAAAAGAATTATAATAGTAGACAAGAAAATTTTTAAGGCAGCTTATAATGCCCAAAGAGAACTTATTTCTCAAGGACGGATGTCAGAACCAAGTGCAGTTTTGACTAAAGATGAACAATATTGGACTGAAGGTTGATTTGTTACTTTAACTTTTGATTAATATTTTTATTGCTTTTTAGGACTTGTTTCAGCAGCTACGCTTGTTGCTGCAGCAACTAGTAAGTTTTATACGAAGAGAATATAAGGCTAAATCCTTGTAAGGATAAACCTGACCATTTGGAATCAAAAAAGGATTTACCGTATTTCCTCTAATAGAGCGGCCGTCTCCAATTGAACGGCCGTCTCCAATAGAGCGGCCCTTTGAGACGGGCTTGAAAAATAGAGCGGCGGCCGCTCAATTAGAAGAAATACGGTAAATTTAAAAAATAAAGGCTAGAAATAATCTCTGGACTAAAAATGCCTGTCTTGAAATTTCTCTCGGGGTTATCTGGGGTTAGACCTTCCTTTTATTTTTCAAAAGGAAGGGAAGTACCTTTTTATTTTTTTTAAAAAATCTGATTTATCTAATCTTTCTTTATAAATCAGATCAATTATGTGAAGCAGCCAACGGTGTTGTTCAAGGACACTTTACTGAAGAAAAATTGATAGCTGCTGCAAAACAAGTATTTTTTCCCCTAAATATTTCCAAAATCAACCCTATATTAAAGGTTGCTTCATCTACCGCTCACCTTTTAGTAGCATGTAAAGTAAAATCTGATATAGGTAGTTCTGCAATGCAGCGTCTCCAAAGTGCCGGACATGCTGTAAAAGTTGCTACCGAACATTTGGTAAACGCAGCTAGACAAGCAATTACAGAAAATGATTGTCGTGGATTGGTGATTTCTGATAGTAAGGAGAAAAAAAATTTTTTTTGAAATTTTCTAAAAAATATTTCAAAAAAGGAATGGTAACGGGTATTGCCCAAGTAATGGATGCACAAGAAGAAGTGCTTCGAAAAGAAAAAGAATTGATAGAAGCTCGAAATCGTTTAACAAAACTAAATAAATCTCGTTATGAAAAATCGCCTGAACCATCACCAGAAAAATAATTTAAAAAAATTAATTTAATACTAAATTAGAGAGCGAGCTGGATCTGGATGCTGACCTTGATTTTTTCTTGGATCCAAAGTCCAGATCAAAGCATTTTTCAGGGTTCATTGATTTTTCCTTGATTCAAGGTCTAGAATCTGGTCAAGGTACCCAACCGAAATCAAGGTCAAGGTTTTTTAAGTCTCGCTCTCTAGTACTAATATTTATTTTCTACAACAACGACGACCTTTTTAAACTTTTGCTTTATATACTTGCTCTTCAAAAAAATTTTTTTTTCTTTCATCATATCCTCTTTTGTATTGTCTTCTTTTTATTGTCCTTTATCCTTTTCCATATCCTTTTTTGTATTTTTTTCCAAGATTCGTCCAATTCTTATCATATTTTTAAAGTTGCCTTAATATCAAAACTTAAATATATCTTAAATCTAATTTACATATGAAATCTTCTTTTTTCTATTCAATTTATTTGTACTCTTTATGTCTTTTTTATATCCACGTTATAATATTCTGCCATAATTAACTAATTATTAATTAGTAATTTAATTAACTTTTAAAATATGCACTATATCAAAGCTCCAACTTTTAATTATTTTTCACGATTTAATATCAAATAATTAACATTCATACAAATATCCTCAGAAAAACATTGTAAAAAATCTTGAGTTTAAAAAAAGCAACGTTTATATGTTAGTTCTAAATTACGAATGAATTTTAAAAAATTTGTAAAATTTTCTAAAGAGGATATTTGTTGACTAAAATATTATATCAAATATTTTTCTTCTCCCCCATTCATTAATGTATTTTTCTTTTTTTTCACCGATCACTTTTCACTCATATCATTCAATATTTGTTTTTCTGCCAATATTTAAATGGTGCAACTAAAATAAAGAAAGCGCTTTGGTTTAAAAATAAGTTTGAATTTTTAAAATGAATTTTGTATAATTCATGGTTATTTCTTGATAAAACACTATGAGGTGTAGCTGTCCAAAATTTTTTGTTCTCGAGAGTTGCTCAAGTCATTTATTGTTGTCACAACGTTTTCGGAGGGACAGGCACAAAGCTAAGGAATCAGAACATTGTTTGGAATAAAAATTGTATTTTTTATAAACCAAGGGTCGATTATTACCAAAAAACGTGGTCTCTGGGTACTTTTGTTCCACACATTTATTAGTAAGATTTTTAGTATACTAGGTATCAGAGGTGGGTCGGAATGCTGATTTCCGACGTTTTTTTCCTTCCAATCTTCGAAAAAAAAATTTTTGATTTCCGATTTCCAAGTTCCGACTTGAGCCATTTCTGATTTCCGAAACCTTCGTCATTTCCGACCCAGCTCTGCTAGGTATAGGAATTTCTATTGTAAAAGCATTCTTGAGTTATTCTCTTGCTCTTGGGAGACTTGGAAAATTTTAGACAGCTCTTTACAGTGTTATATAATGTATTTTTCAACGATAATATTATTTTAGCAATTAAAATAAATTTTAATGTTTACTTGTCCTTTATTTTTATTATTTAAATTATTTTATCAGTTTTTTAAAAACGTGGAATTTTTAAAAGTTTATTTGTCAAAAATAAAAATTGTTTTTAGTAGAAAAATAGCCCCAGTTTTCTCCATTTATTTAATGAATGGTTGGATATTTGATAGGCTTTTTGGTTGTTTATGAATAATTCATATAAATATACATAAATTTATTTTTCTAGTTCAGAACGAAAACGATCGGTTTATAAATTTAGAAATTCACTAAATTATGTACTAGAAGAGACTAAAATATATTGAAAGACAGCAAAAAAATTTTTCAATTTTTCCGTTTAAATATTCTTAGAAAATGTCTCCAGACGAAAGGGCAAGCTTTAATTTTCTTCAAAATTTTATTTCAAAATTAATTTAAGGAAAGTGTTGGGGAGATAAAAAGAATAACTTGTATAGGTGCTGGTTATGTTGGTGGACCTACCAGTGCTATGGTGGTTTATTTTTGTAATATTAAAAAATCATTTAATGACAGATAGCCTTTAAATGCTCTGATATAACAGTTACTGTAGTTGATATGAATCAAGAGAAAATAGACCAGTGGAATTCTGATAATTTACCGATATATGAGGTAGAAGAAATTTAATTGGCCCTCATTATAAGATGCACCTCTATTTAAGATACCTCTAAACTCATTATAAGATGCTAGAACACCTTTTAGTCAAGATACCTTACAAATGCTGGTTGGCCATTGAGTGAGGTGGGGGAGCTGACTTATTGATACCCTCTATTTAAGATACCTCTCATTATAAGAGACTTTAGCCCCAGGGAGGTATCTTATAATGAGGTTCAAAAAAAATTTTTTTAGCCAGGTCTAGACGAATTAATAAACACTTGTCGAGGTCGAAATTTATTCTTTTCTAACGATATCCCCGCTGCGATTCAAAGCGCTCAACTTATTTTTATTTCTGTCAACACTCCAACAAAGACTTATGGGAGAGGAAAAGTGTGTTGTTAATTGAAAAATTTATTTTAAAATTATTTTTTAAAGGGAATGGCTCCTGATCTTTGTTATATGGAATCTGTTTCGAGAACTATAGCAGAGCATGCAAACGGCCCAAAAATTGTTGTTGAAAAGTCCACTGTTCCCGTTAAAGCTGCTGAAAGTATTCGATATATTTTACGGGAAGCAGAAAAATTGGACACCAAACGTCTTTCCTTTCAAGTAATTACAGTTGAACCTCATTATAAGATACCCCAAATACTATATACACCTCTATTTAAGAGACCTCTCTATAAGAGACCCTCTCTGTAACATACACCCAGAGTTGTTTGGTAGGTCACTTGCTGCTTAAGCGATACCCTCTATTTAACGTACACTTCATTATAAGAGACTTTCAGCCCCAGGGAGGTGTCTAAAAATGAGGTTCGATTGTATACTGTATGATTAAATATTAATTCATTCAAAAAAGGTTCTTTCTAACCCTGAATTCCTCGCTGAAGGAACTGCAATGCAAGACCTGGCTAACCCTGACAGGTTACCTTTATTAATTTTTTAATTTAAAGCTTTTCAGAGTGCTTATTGGTGGAGAACAGACCCCTGAAGGCCATGCAGCCATCTCTCAACTTGCAAGTATTTATGAGCGTTGGGTACCTCGTGAACGTGTAATTACAATGAATACTTGGTCGTCAGAGCTTTCAAAATTGGTGCGAAAGAATTTTTAATTTAATACAGACAGACCTTACTAAGATACCCCCCTTGGGGTTGAAATAATCGTGCCCTATGACAGATGTCTATGTTAAATAGAGGGGTATCGCTTGGAAGCTCCTCCGCTTAATGGCCAGCATGAGAACATCCTGAACTGAGTTGTTCTAAGATAGGGAGTATATTATATAGAAGGTACCTTATAATGAGATGTATGTTAAATAGAGGTGTCGCTTTGGCATCTCCTCCATCCAATGGCCAATCAAATTTTAGAAAACGTATTTTAAATAGAGGTTGTCTAGTATTGGGGGTATCTTATTATGGGGCCGTCTAACTGAAAGATTTAAGGCTTCAAACGCTTTCCTGGCTCAACGCATTTCAAGCATAAATTCAATCTCAGCAATTTGTGAGGCAACTGGTGCTGACGTAGGTGAAGTAGCCAATGCCGTAGGAAAAGATCAACGAATTGGGGATCGTTTTTTAAATGCAAGTGTTGGTTTTGGTGGAAGTTGTTTTCAAAAAGACGTTTTGTCGTTAGTTTATCTTTGTGAAGTTCTTCATCTTAAACAAGTTGCTAATTATTGGATGAATGTAAAATCATTTTATTAAGTCTTGGCGTGGTGTAGTGGTTAAAGCCCCCGACTTGTAACTGGAAGGGTCCTGGGTTCGATTCCTGAGCGGTCCTGCTATTCTTTAAAAAACCTAGAAGCCTTTGCAGTTGATTTACTTTGACTAAAAAAAATTTTTTTAACAATTTTAAAATAATTTTTTAAAGGTAATTGATATGAATGAATGGCAAAGACGTCGTTTTTCCGATAAAATAATTGCAGAATTATTTAATACAATTACTGACAAGAAAATTGCAATTTTTGGTTTTGCTTTTAAAAAGAATACTGGAGATACTAGGCAAATTTTTGAAAAAAAATTTTTAAGTAGAAAAAATTTTCAGAGGGTCCCCAGCAATTTATGTAACAAAACATTTAATTGACGAACATGCCCAACTTTTTATATATGACCCAAAAGTTAGGGAAACCCAAATACGTGCAGATTTGGAAAAATTATCTGACAAACAGACAGGCAATTTTTAAAGAATTTTCTAATTTAAAAATTTATTAAAGTTGATAAATTAATCACAATTTGTAATTGCCCTTATAAAGCAGCAGAAAAGGCACATGCAATTGTTATTTTAACAGAATGGGATGAATTTAAGGTAAAAATAATGAATCGACTGCACTATAAGATACACCCTTGGGGTGAAAATAACTAATGAGGTTTATCCTAAATGGAGGGTATCTTAAATTGAAGGTAGGGTTGGTCCCCGACCCCGACTAACCCCGACCCCGACCCCGAACCCCGACATTTTTTGACCTAAAACCCCGACCCCGACCCCGACATTCCCAACCCCGAAAACCCCGACCCCCGAAAGTTCGACCCCGACGACCCCGAACCCCGAAAAATTTTTATGCCCCCGACTAAAACTGCATTAATTAACTAGAGATCGGAACGGGATCGGGACTTTGATGCTAAATATATGAAGGAAAAGGGAAAGGAATATTTATATTTTCTCCTGTTTCCCTTTGTTGGTCGATGGTTGAGTGGTTAGGTTAACTGACTTCAGCCATTTAGCTATTTTGATAGGAATGTTGTTCGAATCCAGGGATGGAAATAAGGCTGAGAAAATTTTTCTTCTCAAAAATAAATATTTTTAAACTATGATCTTGATTTTAAATTTGTAAATTTATTTTTTTAAATATTTTAAACTTGAAACAATATTAGAAATTTTAAACTAGTCATGAATTTTCCAAAATTTTCGCCTGCGGCGCAGAAAATTGAAGAAACCTGTCTCTTGGCCTTCCAAAATTCTAAAAATTTTTGCCTGCGGCGCCGAAAATGGAAGAAATCTGGCTCTTGACCTTCCAAAATTCTCAAAATTTTGCCTGCGGCGCTAGACACAATGAAGGGATACAGAGGCTTTAGGAGAAATTGATGGATAGATGGATTTCTCCCGTTATCCTTGCAACTCCCCGATATCCCGTCAAATCCCTCTAAATCCCATTATATCCATCTTTTTCCTCTGATATGCCTTCATATCCCCTCAATCCCTTTACATAAGAGGTGGAGTAAGAGTTACCTTGTGGGTTTGGGGATTTTGGGGATTATGAAGGATAACTTGGATAAAGTACTTCTTGCGCCTTCAACTAATCACGAATTAGATACAGAAAGTGAAGATAATGAAGATTAAGTTGATTTTTTAATAAAAATGTTGATTTTGAACAGTAATTTTGGATAAAAATGCTGGATTTTGTAAATTTTCACTTCAACCCCGACCCCCGACCCCGACCCCGAACCCCGACATTATTTTCAGCCCCGACCCCGACCCCGAACAATTTGAGCAACCCCGACCCCGACCCCGACTTTGTCAACCCCGAAAACCCCGACCCCCGACTTTTCCAACCCCGAAGGCTCGGGGACCAACCCTAATTGAAGGTATCTTAAAAGGAGGGTATCTTAAATAGAAGGTATCTTCAAGGGAAGGTATCTTAAATGGAGAGTATATTAAAAGAAGGGTATCTTCAATGGAAGGTATCTTAAATTGAGTGGTATCTTAAAAGGAGGGTATCCTAAATGGAGGGTATCCTAAAAGGAGGGTATTTTAAATGGAGGGTACATTAAAAGGAAGGTAATCGCTTGGGCAGCTCCCCTACCCAACCGCTAACCTTTTTAAAAAAGCGTCTATTAGACTGAGGCACATCTAATATTGGGTGCATCTTGTAGGGAGATTCGAATTTTTATTTAAAATCTTTTTTAAGGAGCTCGATTACAAAGAATTATTTTCTTTAATGAAAAAGCCAGCATGTCTTTTCGATGGAAGACGTATTGTAGACCAAGAGAAGCTTCGAAAAATAGGGTTTCGTGTGTTTGTTGTTGGCTCTGCTTCTAACCAAGCTCTCAACTTTTTTCCTTAATTTTCTTTTGATTTTTTTAATTATCGCAAAGGAACAATTCTTCCTAATATACTGAACACAATTATTTTTAAACATATCGTTTGGCATAATCAAAAAATTTTTTGTTAATTTTTATAAATATACAGATCTGTGGGTCCATTTTTTAAAAATTAAAAAGACAAAATTAATTTGTGCCCACTTTTCCGTATGTTGATCGGTGGGTGAGTTGTATAGAGGGTCAGGCTTCACCTTGATACTCTGTTTGGCTTATTATAAATTTATTTTTTAATATTTTAAACTTGAAAAAATTTTGATTTCGAGGATATCGGGAGATTTGATGGGATCAAAGGTGTGCCCAGGTAAACGTAGAACTAGGAAAGTGATTTTTACCGGCTAATATTTTTCGATATTTTCAGGTAATATTTGCCGGTTTTTTACGAATTACGATTCGACTACAGCATATTTTGAGTTACAAATTAAGGTAACGAAATAAATTTTCGGACGCAACTCTGCTTTGCACCCAAATGGGCTGCGACAAAGTACTGTGAGAAAGTCTGCGACAAAGTGGGCCGTTCCCATTTTTATAAAGCAGATTTTGAATTTTTAAATTTGTTGTTACTAAAATTTTTTCTTAAAAATTTATCGATTTAATGTTTGACCCTACTTGAAAAGAGGTGCTTTTGGAATTTTTTAAAATTATCCTTACGGCACAAATCAACAAACATTAAGGACTAAGAAAAAATTGACTTTTTTTGTGTTACAGAGAAATAAGGGAAAATAAGGATAGCGCGCCTCCTTTAATATTTTATTTGAGTATTTTTTATATAAATTATTTTTTAATTGTTTTTTTTTATAATTTAAAGAATTATTAATTTATTTTTATTAGAATTTTTATTTATTTTAACTTCTTTGCTCTACACTTTATTTTTAACGCTTTAAAAATGTCCTCCAACTTTGGTCGCTGTATTATCTGCACTTTGGCCTTTGAACGTGACGATATCTCTGCTTTGCGTTGCGGACACACATATCATTTCGAATGCATTTCAACTTGGATTAATGTTAGGTTTTCTTATTTTATTAAATATTGAACCGGACAGACACCCTTTTTTCCTCCCCAATTTTCCCTTTATATTGTTGCAAAATGGTCAGACTTTTTCCTTTCTTCCATCCGGATTGCCTTTCAATATTTTGGCTACAATCAAACGAGAAGGATTATTTTTGATATTTTATTTCCCATTTTTCCTCCCTAATTTTTGAGTGAAAGAAAGAAAAAAAGTCTGACCATTTTGCAAAAATAGGTGAAAAATTGGGGAGGAATAAAGGGTGTCTGTTCGGTTCAATATTAACCTTCTTTGTATTTTTTAGACCTCCAAATCTTGCCCAACTTGCCGCAAGAAGAATCTTCCGAGAGACATAATCCGTCTATGTTGACGAGCCAGACAAATCAATGTGCCAATTTCCTGACTCTGAAACTTCTTCCGCAAACGTTTCCTTTAAATTTAATGGAATTTTAAATAAAAATAAATTTTTAGGCCGAGTATGAACAAAAAATCAAAGCTTTAGAATCTCAACTTAAAGAAATTTTGCAGGAGAAAATTAAAGTTGATGATGAATTGGCTAGAGAGGTTAATTTTTAATGGTAATAGTGCAGTTACCGGGCCCCTTTTTTCTCGTTCCCTAACCATTTTGAGCTTTTTTGTATGATATATAGTTTATATAAATCATTCGAAAGAGCTCTTCGAGCTTGGTCGTTTGATACAAATATTGTCTAAGTCTTATCATTCTTACCAGAATTATGAAACTAAATCCTCATTGGGAAAATTTTTTGTGCTAATGCAAGGGAATAAAATAAACGGTCACAACTAAAATTCACTTGAGTTGGATTTCGTTGATTTTAATGTCATTCGACTCAGTTCGAAGAGCTCTTTCGAATGATATATAATTTGCCATAAAATGAGAAGAAACTAGGAAAAAATAGAAAGGAAAAAAGGGGGCCCGGTAACTGCACTAGTATTACCTTTTTAATTTTATGTGAATATTTTTTTCTTTTAAAGAAAACAATGAACAATGACCTCAAAGCCAGGATAAAGCTTAAAGACGTGCATATTAAACGTTTGGAAGGTATTCTTGAAGATCAAGATGCGATGAAGAAGGAAAATTCTAGACTTAAGCAGCAACTTAGAGCTTCTGATTTGTTGGTTTTTTTTTAATTTTGGAATTAAATTGAGGGTTAAACTTTGGCCGGTTGCCCTCTAAATTTTAGATCGAAACTCATACCATTCAGTTTATTAAACTCATACCATTCAGTTATGAGCTGAGCGTTACAACTAGGGTTGGGATTTTCGTGCCGGGCCGACGTTCGAGTCATTTTTTTCGGGCCTCATTTTTTCGTGCCGGCCCTACCAAGCCTATTTCGGGCCAAAATTCGATTCCCGACTTGATCTTTCGGATCGGGTCCCTAACCCTCATTACAACTCCTTACGTGTGGAAAAATTAACATGGCACCCTACGTTTTTCAATTTTAGAGGTCTATATCTCGGTCCAACTGTAAAGAGTGGTAGTCCCGTTCGACTTAGTTCACAGAGACGGGTGGTATGAGTTTCGAGTCAAAATTTAATAGGTCACCGACTAAACTATATCCATTTTTAGCTACTCATATGTCTGCAAAATTTCTTCAACTGCCAACGAAACGGAAATTGAGGATATTATTGGCATGTACTCAACTAAAAATGGCGATCCCAGTTGTGGAGAATTTCTCAAATTAATTCGAAAGTATTTTTTAAATATAAGCTGAACATTACACATTTAATTTTTAGGCAATTGAGGGCGATGGAACAAAAAAATAAAGAACTTCTTGAACAAATTCGAAAAGAGCGTCTTGAGAATAGCAAAAAAGACAAGGAAATTGAAAAGTTGCGGGAAGAGTTACTATCCCAGAGTCGAAAACGTACAAAGGTTCCATCAACTAGCAAAGAATCACCTATGGCTACACGACAACGTACTGCTCGTCCTTCCTTTGGATTTAGCTTTTATGAAGAAGACAGTGAAATTCAGGTTATTTTGGGGGTTATTATCCAATTGGGAACTTTGTTCTTTCCGAGCATTTGGGAGGATATTTTGTCGAGTTAATCTAGGTGGGGAAAATTTATTCGAAATGGGCATGCTTTTCTAATTTAAGTTTTCTAATTTAAGCCTTCAAAGTTTATTTTACGGGGAATTGTTAGGGATTGAAGTGCCTTTTTTATTTGTCCGCATAAATTGATTTATGATAACCCGTAAGCAGGAAGGTCACGAGGTGACTGAAACCATGACTTTTTCTAGCCGGAACCCAATCCGGAAAAATCTCAAGACCCGGCTTTTTCTCAATCCATTACATCCTTGCCTACAAATACTAGAATTCGTATCTTTTTAATTCCAAAAATAAATTTAAAGCTAATATCTGATGGCAGTCCATCATCTCCTATGCGGGTTCACAAATTTACTGGTCCAAAGTTTTCATCTTCAAATTCAAGTTGTCAAATTCTGGAAGAGATTAAAGGACAATGCAAGCAGTATATGTCTATTTTTGATGAAAGCGACGATTTGGAGAATATTCCGCCGCCGCCGAGGCCGCCAAAGAAGACTATTCCAAAAAACCCCATTCAACTGGGGAACGATTTAATCTCACCAAATTTGTTGGCACATGCAAGCAAGAGCAACCTGATGAATTTCAACGACTAATTGTAAGATTGAAATACAATGAACATCAAGTATAACTCTTTCATTATTTTAAAGTATATATTAGTTAAAAAAAATTTTTTTTGAATAAATTGGATAAAATTTTTTAATTTAAAAATTTGTTTTTTAGGTAAGAAATATCCGAAAATTATCTCGGTTTGATTACTAAATTTTGGATTATACTTTGGGTATGATAAAGACCTTCGGTCTAAGGATAGTTAATATAAATTTGTCCAATAGATGTTATTTAGAATAACTTTATCTAATCATAAACAAATAGTTATAATAGATTCAATGTCAAATGAGAATCCATAGGGAATAGAAGCATGTCTCAATAAATATTGCCAAAAAAATAAACTAGAATTCACTCTGCAAACTGCCTATATTGTTTTTGGTCAATTAAAATTTTCGCAAAAGGATCCGAGGACAGGAATCTATTTTCTTCGACGTTTTCTTTGGGTTTCAACGTCAAGTAAAACTTGTTCGAGACTTACTCCGACATCGTTTAGGGCTATCCATTAGCCTGTTTTTTTTTGAAAATTGTTATACTATTCAAAATAATATTAATAAACTGTTTCCGAGGGAATAGGTCTAAAACACAAATTAATATTAAACTAACACTAAACATTGAACCAACAAAGAAAAATTTTAAAAAGCAAGATATACCGGAAAGCAAATTTTGCGCCTATATAATAATTTTTTATTAAAAACCTCTCAAAATGTCAAAGCTTTAACAATTTGATGAATTTCCCCGGCATTCTTCACAACTCAAACCAAAGTTCAGATGAATCAATCACTAAAAAAACTAACAAAATCATCTCTCCATCACGTCTAATCACGTCATGAACCGGTGACCTGTTCGAAAATCATTTTGTGGTAAAGATGGTTGCTGCGGGACTTCAAAACTAAAAAATAAAATTGAACTTATAACAAGAAAAAATTAAACCTGAATTTTCTGTAAACGATCGAATTTGCTCTAAAAAGTTTAAAAACGTTTATAAAACGAAAGATTAAAGGTAAATGATCAAACATGTAGAAACATAAAAACCAACAAAAGTCAATTTATTTATTATGTAAAAAATTCAGTGAAATAAATAAACAAAAAATTTAAAACATTTACCAGCAAAAAAATCAATTTACTTCAAATCCAAACCTATTCTTCAATAACCACATTGCAAAAATTTTCCTTAATCATCACCAAATGAAAATGTTGGCTGTGGATCTCCTCGCGCCTCTCTTTCAAGCAACTAAAAAAAACAAAATTTTAAATCTTGATTTTTTAAGAAATTCAAATTGAACTGTTAGAGAAATATTTTCAAAGTAAAAAATAATAAAAAAAAACAAACATCAACCATACGCATAATATCAATTGCTGCAATAACCGCACATTTAGAAAGACAAGCAGCAGATTCTCCAGAAACATCTTTAGATGAACACTCTGGCAATTCCAGCGCTCCAATGCAAATACCCTTCAAGCCATGAGTGCAGAAAACTGCAGAACCAGAGTCGACATCTGAAGCAGTAACATCGGCAATAAGATAAGGACCACGTAATTCGCCACCACCTGAATATTTTTATATTAACTTAAATTTAAAAAAATCAAACTTTTAATTCTCTCAGTTTTAGAACTCTGAAGACAACCATTTTTCCTGCATGGTTTGAGTTTGTCGATTTCATTAGTAAAGCCGCCACAAAGATAAATGCTTCCACAACACATCTTTTCACAAATTTCGGGTCCAAAATTGCAAATTTTTTCTTCCGACTTTAGAATCACAAAATCTTGTTCATTTGAAACGAACACTGCTGTAGTATTGAATTCTTTGCTGTCCTTATAAACTTCAACTTTGGTGACATTCTCTTTATATTCGACCAAAGTTGTATCGGCATATTTTGCGAAGTAGAATGGATGAATGCAGATAACTGCAGATCTGACCTCTTTGCTTGTTTTTTCATCAAAATTCGAGGTGTAAAAACAAAATTTTTCAACCTCATCTAATTCGGGAAGTTGACCTCAAAATATATTGGTTAAAGATCTATTATGTACATAAATAAAAACAAATTTTTTACCTTCCACACTCATATGAGAACCAACAGATAAGCGATTTTGACGAAGAGCCAACGATTTTGTCAATATTTCGTATTGATCACTAAGTGTTGCAATTAAACTTTGAAGGATAGGCATCTGTTCTGGTTTCACAGTTGGAATTAAAGCAGTAATTGTATTCAGTGATTTCTTAATACAATTAATTTGACCGTTTATGAGAGAATTTAAAGGGTCAATTTCAACATTTGAAGTATCTTGTATAGTCAACGGCGACAAATTCGCTTCCAAAGCTGTTATTTGATTGGTCATCTTGAAGTCGAGATAATAAACAATAAAAAATAAAATTTCTGTTTGAATAAAAGGCTAAAAAGAAAAATTAAAGGAGGCTTAAGATTAAAATATGGAAAAATCAATAATTGAAAAATGTGTTTTAAATGTTTTGCCAAAACCCATTTTGCCAAGAAGGCTAAAAACTATCGTTTTGTCGATAAGGTTTTTGCTAGATACCCTAAAAATAAATTTTTTTTTCCAAGAGTTTCCTAAAAGAAAATCCCCTCTTCAGCGTCGTTTTTTACGTATCTCGTCATTTTTAAAAATGGTTGTCGACAGCACTAAAACTGGAAGTAAATAATTTAAAAGTTCTAGAACCCAATTATCTGTCAATATTTGAGCTGACTAAGAAGCAGTTTAAAAATGTTCATAAAAAATACTAAAGATAATTGGATGATTGTTCAAACATGTAGAAAAAAAAACAAGCATGAGTCAAATTTTTATGTAAAAAGGCAGTGTGAAATTAATAAACGAAAAATTTTTTGAGAAAATACCAGCAAAAATAATCAAAAAATAATTTATTTCAATTCAAATTTAAACCATCTATTTCTTAATCTTCGAAATACTTGCTTCGCACTCCTAAAAAACAATATTTTAAATCTCAATTTTGAAGGATTTTAAATAAAACTTAGAAAAAAACTTTAAATTAAAAAATAACATACATCAACTTTACTCATAATATCAATCGCTGGCACGATCATGCACTTAGGCAGGAATTTTGCACAATTTTCGAAGATCGCTTTAGATGAACAATCGGGAAAGTCCAGCCCTCCAATTGACATACCCTTCAAACCATGAGTGCAGAAAACTGCACAGCCAGAATCACCTTTTGAAACCGTAACAACGCCAATAAGGTATGGACCACGTAATTCGCCACCACCTGAATATTTTAGTATTAACTTTAAATAAAAAATCAAACTTTTAATCCTCTCAGTTTTAGAACTCTGAAGACAACCATTTTTCCTACATGGTTTGAGTTTGTCGATTTCATTAGTAAAGCCGCCACAAAGATAAATGCTTCCAGAACACATCTTTTCACAGATTTGGGGTCCGAAATCACAAATTTTTGTTTCCGACTTTAGAACCACAAAATCTTGTTCATGTGAAACGAAGACTGCTGTAGTATTGAATTCTTTGTTGCCCTTACAAACTTTAATTTTGGTGACATTCTCTTTATATTTAAGTCTAGATGAATGGGCATATGTTGTGAAGTAGAATGGATGAATGCAGATGACTGCAGATCTGACCTCTTTGTTTGTTTTTTCATCAACAAGCGACGTGTAAAAGCAAAATTCCATAGCATATTCAATTTCGGGAAGTTGACCTCAAAATATTAATCGTTTTTAACAAAATTATTCCCCCTCCCCCATTTTTTCCTTTTCCCTGACCATTTTGAGATTCTTTGCTTGATCCATAATTTTTTAACCTTTGAAAGAGTCTTTCGAGCTGGGTCGAATGATACAATGATCGGTTGGATTTGGCGAGTTTAAACAAAATTATTAAGCTGAAACCTCGCTTGAAAAACTTTTTTTGTTCGATACAGGCGATTAAAACGAATGACATAACTATCTTGATTTAAGTCAGATTTCGTTGATTCGACTGAGCTCGAAGAGCTCTCTCAAGACAAATAATTTGCTATAAAAAAAGAACAAATGCTAAAAGGGATTCAGGAAAAAATGAGGAGAATATTATCTATAAAAAATTTTTACCTTCTACACGCATACGAGAACCTCCAGATAAACCATTTTTCAACGATGTTGTCAACGTTTCAAATTGATCACTGAGTGTTGCAATTAAACTTTGAAGGATAGGCATCTGTTCTGTTGTAATAATAGGCATGAAATCAGTGATTGTATCGAGTGATTTCCTAACAACATTAATTTGACCATTTATAAGAGAATTTAAGGAGTCAATTTCAATATTTGAAGAACTTTGTGTTGCTAAAGGCGACAAATTTGCTTCTAAAGCTGTTCTTTTAGCCATTTAATTTTATTACCAAATTGGTTTCTTTTATTCAAACAGCTATAAAGAAAATTGGTAATCCTTAAGATCATTGGTCCCTAAAAAAAAATTGGGAAAAAAGTGCTGTTTTGATAATTTTGACCCCAAATTCGACTTTGTCGAATTTGGGTTCGTGGTTCGAAATAAACCAATTCTAAGCTCAGATTCGGACTCAGCACACTCGATTACCTACTGGCAGACCTCAAAATTATCAAAACAGCACTTTTTTCCCAATTTTTTTTAGGGACCAATGATCTTAAGGATTACCAGAAAATTAAATACAGATTTAAAAGATTAAAGAAAAATGAACGATCTGATTCTACTGGACTAAATTTCTAAACACGCGGTTTTGGGAGAAACAGAACCGGTACATTGGCAGAACTCGCCAAAAATAAACCTAAACTGTCATACCACAAATCTAATTGAATAAAATCAAAAAAATATTTTTCTTAAATTTCTATTAAAGGCTCTATTATTTTTTTAAGTTTCGGAAGTTTTATTGGAATTAGCCATTCATTTAGAATTCTCTGCCCATGCGGAGAATTCTAGCCTTTTGGCAAAATGTCGGTTTTTCCCTCGTCGACAAAAGAACATTTTAACACTTCGTAATTTTGTTGAAATGAATTGGGGATCATTGAGTCCCACCGGTTGAGTCTCGGAGCCATATTTTGGGCCATAACTTTTTGTGTTTTCAACCAATTCGAATAAATCTTTTACCATTCGAAAGCCCTGGATCTATGGATTATTTTCGTCAACTAGATTGATTTGATCTGATCATCGTACAAAAAGTTACATCTAGATAAGTGCGCGCAATCGTGTTTTTGATCTTCATTAAGCCTTAACTTTTTGTATGAAGTTCTAATCAAATCAATCCTGCTAGATAAAATAATCCTCTCATTTAGAGCTTTCGATTGATATATTAATTATTTAAATCGATTAAGAATTGGAAGAGTTATGGCCTGAAATATAGCTCTGGGACTCAACCAGCGAGACTCAATGATCCTTTTCCGTGTTAAAAATATTATTTTAAATTTTTCGACTGCAGATTTTTATTAAATTTGTGTTTTTTAGATCGAAAATTTTCGAAAATTACCTTGTTTTTTAGTAAATTAATTTTTTATTTTTTAGGAAATGCTTATTGCTCCTCAATTTCTTTTATTCTCTTTTTTTATTTTTTGTGCAATTCTTTTGTATCGGCACATAAAATTAAGGAGTCAACTAGTTAATGTCCCTTCGCCTCGATCCTGGATGTTATTTGGACACGTTTTAATAATTAAACCGGACATGGAAGGATTTATTGACCAATTAATGGGAATGGCACAGCTTTATCCTCAACACCCAAGAATGACTTTATTTTGGTTTGGCACAATTCCAACGTTAATGATTTATTCTGCGAGACTTGTTGAATCTTTGTTCAGTAATAACAATCATATAAATAAAGGAATGTTTTATGATATGTTTCGACCTTGGCTAGGAAATGGACTTTTAACCAAGTTTTTTTGAAATTTATTGAAAAATTTTTTTTTAATTTTTAAAGCACTGGTGAAGGATGGCGTGCTCGACGCAAATTGCTCACTCCAACATTTCACCACGAAATATTAAAAAGTTTTGTGAATGTATTTAATTACCAAGCTGATATACTTGTTCAAAAATTGCATACTTTGGTGGGCAAAACTGAGTAAGTTTTGATTTTTTATATATTTTCTAGGTAAGTTTCGTGGAGTCTGCGAGTTGAGTGAACCTAATCGATGGCGGACCCAACAGAAATTAAAGACATTCCTTTTCTTTGGAGTAAGTTTGTTGGAGAAAGGAAAAGAATCTGGCCCAAACAGATAAATTTCAAATTTAATGGATCGTCCTAGGTTCCCTTCTCTTATGGCCGTAAAAATTAAGAGTAAAAGTTATGCCAATTTTTAAAATAAAAAATTTTTCTTTTTAGAGGCCACATTGATGATATTACTCCGCTTATAAGTCTTTGCACTTTGGATATTATTTGTGAAACCTCTATGGGTAGATCAGTAAATGCACAACAAGAGGAAGACTCAGATTATGTTAAGGCTGTGCTCTGCATTAATGACATCATCCAGAATAGACAGAAAAATCCTTTAGTTTGGCCTGACCTATTCTTTTGGTATTTTGGTGCGGGCAGGAAGCATGAATGGTCTTTGAATATTTTGAAGTCTTTTACAAGAAAGGTAATTTTTAAAATATTTTTTTAATTCGAAAAAATATGTTTGTAGGTAATTATTGAACGAAAAGTAGAGCGAAAACAGCAAAGAATTAACCAGGAAATTAATATTGAGCGTCGTCTTGCATTTTTGGATTTGTTGTTAAAAATGGAAGAGAATGGTGATTTGAGTGAAAATGATGTTCAAGAAGAGGTTTTATATTTTTATTTACTGTTGGACCTCGTTATAATAGACACCCAATATTAGATCCACTTCTGTTTAAGGAACGTTTTTAAAATTTTGGTTGGTCACTGGGTGTAGGAGCTCCCAAGAGGTTTAATGTTTTAATGTACCTCGTTATAATAGACACCCAATATGAGATACACCTCCATTTAAGAGACGTTTTAAAAATTTGGTTGGCGTATGGGTTGGGTACTGCCTAAGCGATACCCTCTATTTAATTACATTTCATTATAAGTTGCAATTTTTTTCAAACACAATTTTCATGTCAAAAGCCTTCTTAAGTGAGATCCTGATTAAATTTAAACAAAATGCCTTTTAATTTTAAGGTGGATACATTTATGTTTGAAGGACACGACACAACAGCAGCAGCTATCACTTGGTCTCTTTTTATGCTTGGTTGCCATTTAGAATACCAACAAAAATGTTATGAAGAAATTCAATCTGTGTGTGGAGATTCAGACAATTTAAGCTTCGAAACTTTGGGAAAACTATGTTTTTTGGAATGTTTTATCAAAGAATCTTTGCGTCTTTATCCAAGTGTTCCTCTTATAACTCGTCGCTTAAATAGTGATGCTGAGATTGGTGGACATGTTTTTCCTGCTGATACTCAAATAGTCATCAACATTTATCAAATTCATCGAGATCCTGAACATTGGGATGATGCAGAAAAATTTATGCCAGAACGGTTTGTTGATTAAATTTTTTGTTTTTAATACTTTGGCTGACGCCTCCTCCTTTCTTTTTACTTACTTTTTGTACCTAGAACATGACTCCGTTGGCATATTGCAAGGGCTTATGTTAGTCAGGGTAGGCTTCTGGGGCTTAGCCTCCCCTCTGAAATGGGAAAAATAAAAAGAATTATACGAGGAGGCACGCCCTTGGCATATCGGTCTGGCCTTTTTTATCTAAATCATATATCCAACGTTACACATTGGTTTGGCTAACTATAAGGCTTGTAGTCAAGGGAATTGATTTGACTTATAAAGCCAAGGTGCTCAAGGATTAGGATCACTTCACGAAGAATAAAGGAAAACAAAGATGGGTAAAAATGTTCAGAAAAAAAGAAACCAAACAATTGGGGGGGGGGGGCGTCAGTCAAAGTATTGCTAATTTTGCTTTCTTACTAAAACATTTTTTTAAGTTTTCTGACTGATAACATCAAAGACCGTCACCCATTTGCTTTTGTTCCATTCTCAGCTGGTAGTCGAAATTGTATTGGACAACGTTTTGCTTTATTAGAAGAAAAAACTGTGCTTGGTTGGATTTTGAGAAACTTTCATGTCAAAAGTCTTTTACGTCGTGATCAATTGCGAACGAAAGCTGAACTTATACTTAGGCAAGCAAAACCTGTTAAAATGTTATTGACACCTAGGACGAAGAAAGACACTAACAACAATTAATTAGAGAAGATTTTTAATAATTAATTAGGCAAATTAGGATAATTTAAAGATTTTTTTAAATAATTTTTTGTTAATTTGATATTTTGACAGATGTTTTATGCATAATAGGGGCTTTAAGACATTTGTTGGCCGACATTTGCGAACAAACTAAAGTCAATTGGACCAGTAAAATCGATTTTTCGGACCCTGATTTGCAACTTGAGCCGGACCGGATCCGGGCGGATTAATCCGGAGATTGCGAAAAACCCCGAATTTGGGACCCTGACTCCGGAAAAATCCGGCCGGATCTGGTCCGGTCCCGGTTACTAGTTTATGTAAATGTCCGCATCTTTGTGTCCGAAAATATCTCCCAAATCATTTTATAATGTCGTTATATAATTTTATTAAATTTTATATTAAATATTTGAAATTTTAATTTGATTTGAATTTTGAATTGTTCTTAAATGACAATGAAAAATTATGTTTTTTATTTTCAATTCTTTTGACAAATGAGATACACCCTAGTAGGCGCGCGGCCACAAAGGCGCAATGCCATAACTTGCTGGAAAATTTCTGACCCTTATCAATTTGGTACCAATCTCTTTGGCTCGATGAGAGGAATCGTTTAATACTAACTTTGGTAAGATTCGGAAATCTTGAAGCAAGTTATGGCTTTGCGCCGTTATGTCCCTTGAAAAATATGAAATTTTGGCGGCTACTAATTTATTTAAAAAAATATATAGATTGTTTGCTTGTTTTTAAACATTTTTTTAAAGTTTAGGAGACTCGGATTTGAAAGAACTTTCTTCAAATTTTTTTTAAAATTAAAAAATGGATAGTGCGTCAAAACATATAGCTGATGTATTTACAGATCTTCATAAAATTGGAGAAGGGACCTATGGAACGGTTTACAAAGTTAGGACAAAACAAGATGGAGAATTAAAAGCTTTGAAGCAGATTAGATTAAATCAGTTAGTTTATTTTTGGGTGGGAGGGATTTTTGAAGTTTTTCGTTGAGGCTGGGGCTAGTTTGGTATTAAATTTCTTTGGAAGACCAAATTAATAAACGTTAATTTTAAAGACACTACCTCACATTTAAATGCATTTAACTAGTGATGGAGATTTTTGAAAGGCCTGGACTTTGGGTTTGATTTATTGACCAGGGCCGGATCTTGGGCCTGCGGTCCAGGAAAAGCCCATGCCCAGGAAAAATACAGGAAGGTCAAAAAATGCCTGGCCTGGACTCTACTGGAAAATCCAGGCCTTGGTCCAGATCCGACTCAATCACTACATTAAACTAATCGGACCTAAAATGAAGCGTATCTTAAATAGAGGGTATCGCTCATTTCTATCCCCAATTCAACGCTCATTGTCAGCCAAACCTTGGGGCATCTTACATTTTCCAACTTTAATTTTTTCAATTTTAGAGGTTGTGAAGGTGTGCCAAGTACTTGTATTCGTGAAGTTTGTTTATTAAAGGAGTTGACACATCCAAATATTGTTCATTTGGAAGATGTTATGATTCACAGTAAAAAATTTTTTTAATTTAAAAAATTTTAAAATTTAGAAGGAAGAAAGCTTTATTTAATTTTTGAATTTATTGATCAAGACCTTAAAATGTTATTAGAACGTTTGTCTCCGCGTCCATTGCCCGTTCCTAATGTTAAGGTTTTTTCTTTGATTTTTATTTCGAGAAAAAAAAATTTTTTAAGAGTTTTATTTGGCAAATGCTTCAAGCTTTGGCTTATTGTCATACACACAGAGTTGTCCACAGAGATTTAAAACCTCGTATATTTTTTTTAGATTTTTTATTAACTTTATATTTTTTAGAGAATTTACTTGTGAAGAATGATGGGACTATTAAATTGGCTGATTTTGGATTGGCTAGGTAATTTTTTTTCGAGGGGAGGGAAAAGAGCTGAACTCATTTCCGTTTTATTTTCGCTATTATAAATTTTGTAACTCTTTTTGGAATTATTTTTAGATCTGGATTCATTTTTTGGGGATTTCATTCTCTTCCATTAGGTCTTACCTTGGGCTGATTTTTTTCCCCAAATTCTAGTGTCTTTATTGAGAGCAAATTTGGACTTTTTTACAGCTGGATTTTTTCTACTCTTGGGGTCATTTTAAGGTTGTTTCCTCTCCCTCTTACCTTGCAATTCCTTTATTGATGGGAAATTTGATTTTTCTAAATTTGAGCTTTCTATGGTCTCCAATTTCTCCAAGATTCGGGCTTCTCTTTAGAGCTCCAAACACCAACCATTAATTTTCTTATATTATCTATAAATTTCAGAGCCTTTTCGTTGCCAAGTCGTTGTTACACTCACGAAGTTGTAACGCTTTGGTATAGAGCCCCAGAAGTACTTTTGGGTGCTCTCTATTATTCTACAGCTGTGGATATTTGGAGTTTGGCTTGTATTTTTGCTGAATGTTTACGTAATGAGCCTCTATTTAAAGGAGATTCTGAGATTGACCAACTTTTTAGAATTTTTCAAATTCTTGGAACGCCTAATTCTAAGGTTTTTTTTTAAATAAAAATTCTTTTTTTGGTCATCTTGTCCAGTTTATACGTCCTTATAGTCGTATATTTTTGGTGGTTTTAAAAATTGGGATTTGGATTCTTTAACGTGTTTTGGGTTTGAAATTTATGGGTAATTGACTTCGGACCATCCTTCAACCTGAATTAATTTTGACTGGTTGCAGTAAATTTTTAAAAAAATTTTTCTAAACCATTACAACCTACCCAAAATTTGTACAATTAATTGAGATAATAATTTTTAACACTAGCCGGCAAAATTGATTTTTCCGGAGTTGGATTTGTAGCCAAGAACCTGACCTGATCCAACCGAATTTGAAACTCGGTCTTTTGAAAAGGCGGGCCGGATCCGAACCGGCGTCGGCCATTAATTTATATAATTATATTATTCATTTTGTCATAGATTTCGAACCCAAAAAATGTTAAGGTAACTCAATTATAATTTTTAAAACCTAAAGAAAATTTAATTAAAAAAAACTTCATGGGGCCTATAAACTGAGACACGCCCCAATAGTGCCAAGCCATAACTTGCTTTAAGATTTCCGAATATTTCCAAATTTAGTATTAAACGATTCCTCTCATCGAGCTAAAGAGATTGATCCCAAAATTGATAAGGGCCAGAAATTTTTTAGCAAGTTATGGCTTGGCGACCGCGCGACTATTCTGGCTGTGCCTCTATAAACTGGACTAGACACTCCAACATTTTTCTATAATTAATTTTTATTTATTTTTTAAAAAGACATGGGCAGGTGTAGAACGTTTCCCCGACTATAAAAATAATTTTCCAAAATGGAAGCGTCGTGATATGCGTGAATTAATAACAATATTAGATGAAGATGGAATTGAACTTTTAAAACAAATGTTGGTATATCCTCCAATGGATAGAATTACAGCAAAATTAGCTCTTTCACATCGTTTTCTTCGTGATATGACATTAAAATTGCATGACATTACTTTACTTTATGAAAAATAATTTTTAGAGAGAGAAAGAAATTAAAGAAGAAAGAAGGTAAATTCAAAAGAATAATTTATTTAAAAAATAAATTTAATTTTTTTTTTATTTTTAATTATATAAATTATTTTTATATATTTAAAGTATAATTTGAAAATAAAGACAAAAAAATATTTATATTTTTTTAAAATTAATTAGAATTACGAAAAAAAATTTTTTGTTCAATAGTTTGGTGCGTGTCGGGACAAAACACCGTCCGACTAAAAAACAGTCCAATAAAGTAATAATGCCGTCTAATTCACCTTATCTAAAAAAAGTTTATAATAAAATCTTGAGGCAAAGAGTGAAAAGTAATAACTATCAAGACCTAATAGCTAATAGAATTTTAAGACGACATTAATATCGTCATAAATCGAATTTATTGTCTCTAAACGTGGACTGGATCTTTAACTATATCCAGACGGTGTTTTGTCGGATGGTGTGTTGCCCCTCCTCCAGTTTGGTAGTTTGTTTCCATGGTCACACAAACACAAAAGTAAAAATGCCTAAATAATATATAGCTTTTTAGTTCATATAGTGAAGTAGAAGAGAAAGTTTTGTTGTTGTCACACATTTCCTTTTTACCTGAATTTACTTTTTAAATTTTATTTTTGTCCTTCAAAATAAACTTAAAAATTCACTGAATTTCTCAAAAAATATTCAATGTCCAAAATTTAATTTTCTTCAATCGGGAAAGGGAAAATTGTATAAATAAATAAAATGACACAACAAGCAGCAACAGCATCAAGTTCAGTTATTGGTGGAATGCCTCAAGGGCTTTTTAATTTAGGCGTGCCTTCAATAGGTACAAGTTCAGCACCGAGTACTGGTATTCCTCCAAAAACATTGGCTGATCGGTTTGATTTTAATATAGTCGGGCCTCTTTATAAAATACACTCTATACTTTTAAAGTGATTTACAAACGATACCCTCTACTTAACATACACATCATTATAAGTGACCTTCTCTATAAGATATAGAGGGCAGCTTCGTTTTAAAATATTTAGTTGGTCAATACTCTCTAAGCAATACCCTCTATTTAAGATGACCTTACATACGTATGATACCCTCATCAAAAGAAACCCCCAATATTAGGTACACTTATATTTAAGAGACGCCTTTTAAAATTCGTTTAACCCTTGGATGTGGGAGCTTTCTAAGCGATACCTTCTATTTAAAATACACCTCAATATAAGAGACGATTTTCTCAGTGGTGTCTTATATGGTGAGCCTTGGGTGAGTCTTATAATGAGGTCTGACTAGCAGATGAGTAAATAAAAAATTTTTGACCCAAAATTTTTAAGATATCGAATGACCAAAAAAGTTGGAGATGGAACTTTTGGAGAAGTTTCGTTAGCTATAAAATTAGACACGGGGGATGTTGTTGCAATTAAAAGAATGAAGAAAAAGTTTTATTCGTGGGATGAGGCAATGAATTTACGAGAAGTTAAATCTTTAAAAAAATTAAATCATCCAAATATAATTCGGTAGTTAAAAATTTTTGTAAAATTAATTTAAAAGAATTTTTAAAGTTTACGAGAAGTAATCAGAGAGAACGATATTCTTTATTTTGTATTTGAATTTATGCAAGAAAATTTATATGAATTAATGAAGGAACGGTAATTTATTTGAAAATTAATAAAAAATAAAGTTTGATAAAATCGTTGAAAGTAAAGTGGTCCTTCACGGAATTTATCAAGTAAAACGTCCCTCAAAAATATTCCACATGTGGGATTCCGTAAACAAGATTTTGCCGTTAATTAGAAGGTACAACAGAGAAACTCACATTAAAATCAACTAGATACCTCTCAATTTTTTTCAAAGTTAGCCACTGGGTAAAGAGAGAGGGGTCTGCATAAACTATAACTTCCGATTTAAGATACACCTCAGTATAAGGTATGATTTCTCCAACTGGGTTTTTCAAGTGAGCTCGACTGCAGTAAATTATAAAATGACTATTATCCTTTGCAAATTATTTATAAAACTATTAAAAAATATTCTTTTAGAGATCGTTATTTCCCAGAGAATTCCATTCGAAATATAATTTATCAGGTACTTCAAGGCCTTTCATATATGCACAGAAACGGTATTTTTAAATTCTCAAAAAATTTTAAATTTTATTTTTGAAGGGTTTTTCCACAGGGACATGAAACCAGAAAATATAATGTGTAATGGAACAGAATTAATTAAAGTAGCCGATTTTGGGTTGGCTAGGGAAATTCGTTCTAGACCTCCTTTTACTGATTATGTTTCTACTAGATGGTTATTTTATTCTGAATTTTGGAAAATTTTTAAATTTAATTAGGTATAGAGCACCTGAAATTTTGCTTAGATCGGTAAATTAAATAATCAAACCTCTATATAAGATACCCCCAATATTAGAGACACTTCTATTTAAGAGACGTTTTTAGATTTTGGTGTGCCATTGGGTAGAGATGTACCCAAGCGATACCCTCTATTTAAGATACACTTCAATATAAGGTACCTCTATAAAGGATACTCCCAATACAAGAGACACCACTATTTAAGGGACGTTCATTTAAAATTTGGTTAGCCGATAGGTGGGGGAGCTGTCTAAGCGTTTACCCTTTATTTAAAATACATCTCAATATAAGAGACTATTTTTAAGACTTGAGAGAGTATCTTATAAAGAGGTTTTCAATTGTAATTAATAAACAAATTTAAATTCAAAAAAGACTTTTTACAATTCCCCAATTGATTTGTGGGCGTTGGGTTGTATTATGGCAGAATTATATATGCTTCGCCCACTCTTTCCTGGAACATCAGAATTGGACCAAATATTTAAAATAATTAACGTGCTTGGAACTCCCACAAAAGTTTTTCTTCAAAAATTAAAAAAAATATTTTAAAAATTAAAAACAGGAAGAATGGCCAGAAGGCTATAGACTAGCCACTGCAATGAATTTTTCTTTTCATCAAAGTTCAGGTGTTCCTTTAAAAAGTATTGTAAATACAGCAAGTGATGATGCTATTAAATTAATGTCCGATTTTCTTGCTTGGTGCCCTGAGAAAAGGCCTACTGCTGTAAATGTTTGTGACAGATTTAAATAAGACCGTCGGACCTCACTATAAGATACCCCCTTAAGGCTTAGTCTCTTTTAATGACGTGTATGTTAAATAGAGGGTATCGCTTAAGCTTCCTAATAGGGGGCATCCGCACGGTTTGGACATCGGTTCCGGTTATTCGAAGGTTCCCCAGCAACCGCTAACCCTAGCTCCAACCCTAACCCTCCCTCTAACCCTAGCTCCGATCCAAATTGAAAAAAGTATACCAAATTGAGGCTTATCTAATTTTGGGGTTATCTTATAGTGAGGTCAGTATTTTAAAAAATAATATACATGTAAAATAAATTTCAGTCACTAAAATACCCCTACTTCCAAGTAAGCCAAAAAATGGGAGCCCCAATTCTTTCACAACCAGCAACTAGCACAATACGTAAAAATTCTGCTGGCTCAACACAAAGCGATTCTAAATTGGTAACTAATAATAAAAGAATTACTCAAAAGGCTGCTAAAATGACTCAAAAAGTTTTTTTAAATAAATTAAAAAATAAAAAAAAATTTTAGGTTGTACCTACAAAAGGAGGATTACCTTTTATAACAATTAAGGAAAAACAACAACAAATAAATGCAGAAAATCCTTTGGCAGGATTGGAAGATGAATTAGAAAAATTACAGGAAGAACAACAAGTATGAGAGAACAGGCCTGATTATACGATACCCCCAAACCCTCTATTTAAGATCGTTTTTAAAATTTTATTGGCAAAAGGGTTGGAGAATACCCTCTATTTAAGTTACATTCATTATATACCCTCTATATAATATACACCCGATATTAAGTACAACTCATTTAAAGATACTGGTTGACCACTGGGTGGGAGAGCTTTTAAAGAGGTACCTCCTATTTAAGGTACTCATTATAAGTTACGATTTTTTCAACTTCAAGGGGATATCTTATAATGTGGTTCGTATGATAAAGCGATTAAAATTTAAATTATTTTACAGGAAAAAGAACAACAAAAAATTGAACGAATAAGAAACACAGAAAGTGCAAAAACAGAAAATACAACCCAAATTCGAGGCCCAGATAGAAATAGAAATTTATCCTTAAAAGGAGTTGAAAGTATTGCTGAATTAATTTTTGATACAAATAATGGAAATAATAGGTAGAAAATGAAGGGAAAAAATTTTAAAAATAAATTCTAATTTTAAAGGACAAATGTTAACCCTAAAAATCAAAAAATGCCAAATAGCGAATTACCTTCAAGTGGAAAAAGAGAACAATTATCAATGAGTGCCAAAAAAGCAAAGGAAATATATTTAAGTAAATCGAGATATATACCTGGTATGTTTTTTGGTGTAATTAAATCCAGCCCAAAGACTATTTATGCAATTAAATGTGGAGGGGGAAGATTAAGGATTTACACACTTGTTTAGCACGTATGTCAATACCTTGCTGTTCAGGATTTACAAACAAAGCTAGACCGGATTGCCTCCCTCGGGGTGTGCCACCTGTTTAAGGGGCATACAGCAGGGGGTGCGAGTTTCGCCTTTCGCTTTTTAAAATCACCTCCGGAACACGCCCTTCATATAAGTACTACATTAAAGCAGCCACCGACTGCAGCCAGGCATCGTACCTGAATCTCCCGTTAAGTGCAAGTCGGGTGTGTTGATTACTATTCTATAAAATAATCTAATGTTCAATAAAAGGTATAAAATCTGATATAATAAGTGGAAACAACAAAACAACAACACAATTACCTCCCGCTTTGGGGCCTAAACAAGGAAGTGATAATAATAATAGTGTAATACAACAAGCACGTACTGGAGTACAAGCACGTTTTGAATATGCTTATGGTAATTATTGAAAAAATTATTAGTCGAACCTCTCTATAAGATACACCCAATATAAGACACTTCAATATAAGAGACTTTTTTAAAATTTGGTTGACCTAATGGGACTGAGGGGCTGCCCAAGCCTTACCTTCTATTTAAGGTATACTTCGGTATAAGGTAAACCTCTTTAAAGATACACCCAATAACAGATACTCTCATTGTCAGTTTAAAATACGGTTTCTGAAATTATTGAAAGGGAGTTACCTAAGCGAATCTCTCTATTTAAGATAACCTCATTATAAGGTATACGATGTTTAAGTCTCAAGGGTGTATCTACCGATTTTATTAAGATTAAAAAATTTTAAGGATATGTCCCATCATTTGGGGGAAATGCTAATAATAATCGTCAACAACAACAAACAACAGCACCTCAAATCTCAACAAATGTAGGCCGCGTAAACTGGGCAGCTAAATATCAACGAAATTAATTTTAAAAAATACAAAAATTCTATAGAAAATTCAAAAAATTGGATTCTATTTACATTTAAGTAATGCATTTCCATTTAAAGATATTAATTACAAAAAATTGGCACATACGTACATTTAAATATTTATTAATAAAATAATGAAAAATAATCATAACAAATTTAAGAAATATAGTGGACTTATCGACACTTATTTGTTAACGTTTTAGTTTCGTTCTTCCCTTTTACGTTTTATAAGTTTGTATCATCCAAAAAGGCTTTACATTTAGGCTTTACCAAAAAGGCTTTACATCTAGGTTTTCCGAAGTGCCCTAATGCCCATAGATTTTGTCATCTATTTCGTCATCTAGGTCTTCCGAAGTGCCCTAAAGGCCATAGAAGATGATAATATTTGGTAAGGAAATAAATTTTTTCAAGTCTCAGAAGAGACATTAGAGTCCCATATGATAATATTTGGTAAGGAAATAAATTTTTTCAAGTCTCAGAAGAGACATTAGAGTCCCATATGATAATATTTGGTAAGGAAATAAATTTTTTCAAGTCTCAGAAGAGACATTAGAGTCCCATATGATAATATTTGGTAAGGAAATAAATTTTTTCAAGTCTCAGAAGAGACATTAGAGTCCCATATGATAATATTTGGTAAGGAAATAAATTTTTTCAAGTCTCAGAAGAGACATTAGAGTCCCATATGATAATATTTGGTAAGGAAATAAATTTTTTCAAGTCTCAGAAGAGACATTAGAGTCCCATATGATAATATTTGGTAAGGAAATAAATTTTTTCAAGTCTCAGAAGAGACATTAGAGTCCCATATGATAATATTTGGTAAGGAAATAAATTTTTTCAAGTCTCAGAAGAGACATTAGAGTCCCATATGATAATATTTGGTAAGGGAATAAATTTTTTCAAGTCTCAGAAGAGACATTAGAGTCCCATATGATAATATTTGGTAAGGAAATAAATTTTTTCAAGTCTCAGAAGAGACATTAGAGTCCCATATGATAATATTTGGTAAGGAAATAAATTTTTTCAAGTCTCAGAAGAGACATTAGAGTCCCATATGATAATATTTGGTAAGGAAATAAATTTTTTCAAGTCTCAGAAGAGACAAGTCTCAGACCAAACGAAAAGAACCACCATATTCTGCAACATATAAACGCGCTTGAATTAGAGCTTTCCAAGAAGATGTCGGTAAACGACTGAATGGCTTGACTTCCAAAACGAGACGTTCAATATTCTTTTTGAAAAAATAAAAAAACATTTTAAGTCAGATTTCATTATAGGACACACACTTGGGGTTTAAAAAGGTGGGGTGTCTTAAATAGAGGGTAGCAATTAGACAGTTTCTCCTTCCTCTCTCAATAACCAACCCAAGACTTATACAGACGCTTATTTAATAGAGGATTAGGCCTTCTTCCTTCCTTAGGCAGCTTTCCCACTCAGTGACCAACCCAAGATTTAGAGAACGTCTATTAAATGGAGGTGCTCTTAGAGGAAACCCCACCTTAAAATTACTGAGTGAATCCTAGACGAGACCCGCCTGTATAACAAATATACAAATTACCTCACCATTATATAATCTGCTTAAAGCGCAGATTCTCCTTTCCAGAACTACAACATTCATTAATTCCAGTAATTACTCCCTCTTCATTTATTTGCAAAATAATTCCAACAGTGCGCACACCATCCACAGAATTCTCGATTCCAACACCAATTTTGGCGTCTTTGATCGAATCAATACTAATCAGATGCACACCTGGCCATTTTATAATCAAACTTGGAGGTTTCACAAGTATAATTACTGTTGTTGAGCTCCTAAAAATTAGAAAGGATTAAAAATTGAAAGCGCCTTGGCTTTATTTATTAAATTTTTTTCTAAAAAGATTTTCCTAAAGGAAGAGGATTTACGTAGTTTTAAATAAAAGGACGCAATCGAGCTGAATTCGAAAAATATTAAAAAGCCAAAAAACATGTGAGAGGACTTTTTCCCTTCAACAATTATAAGGGGAAAATGAGTAACTTTGGTGGCCTCATTTAAAACAGAATGCCAAAAGATAAAGAAAAATACTCGGGAAGGTTTTTAAAATATTCTTTGAAAATAAAAATAAAACTTGCCCTAAACTGTCAACAATACAGAAGACATTTACCAAAAATATAAAAAACGCTTTAAGCAGAATTTAATAGTTGTGTAGGGGTAATTAAATAAACATATATTTCCATCAATAAAAGGATACGGACATATGCACAAGCTCATGAATTAATAGGATACATAAAAATACCATACAACATTTGTAATGGAATAAGGAATATATACAAAGGATACAAATTAAGCTTATGGAATTAAATAAATGGAATTAAATACACAAGAGCAAATACGTTGTTCACTTATCACGACGAACTTTCTTCATCAGAACTTTTCGTTCTTCACGTTTTCGCTCTACGAGTTGATCATATTCGTGGATAAAGGCGCTGACTTTTTTATTATTCTTTCCAAGTAATCCACAATTTATTGCTTCTTCAATAACTGCTCGATGAATGAATAAATACTAAAAATAAATTTTATTTTTTGAATTTTTCAAAAAGGAAATCACTTGCAGATCAGTTTGTACAGAAAACGCCCGCTGATCACGAAGCCATAAAAAAATTGTGGCAATCTTTACTTCTCGATTTAATTTAATTAATGTTTGAATTGCCAATTGAACTCCTGCAAAAGTTCCACTACGCCCTTTAAAATTTTATTTTAAACTGGTTAAACACAAACACAAAAAAACTGACCTACGCCAGCACTGCAATGGCAAAAAACTGTACAATTACGGCTCTCAGCAATATCTCTAACATAATTATTGAATTGACAGAATGAAGAAGGAGAATAGGGAACGTCATTTTCAGGCCAACCAAGGTAGAGAAGGTGAATAACCTTAAAATTAAAAAAGGCTAGATTATCAATATTTTCTCATATTTAGGGTTAACTCATCTTTCCCCTAATGAAAATCTAAGCCCACCGGTTTGCATAATACAAACCCTAAAAATTTCTATTACTCACTTCAATGAACTTTTTGTCTTTATATCCAGCTTCGATTACGGTTTTTCGGACATCTTTATTGGAGGGTAAATAAACGGTCTGTTCCTTGATTTTTATTGTTATATTTTGTCCGTACTTCGTTGTTCCACTATTTAGATAATTTCCGCATTTGATTTCGCCCCCTTCATTATCTTTACAGAGTTGAACGACGACCTGAATTTATAGATTTTCCCTATTAGGCAGACTTAAAATCAGTAAACTTACACCGCAATTCTGTTCAATAACTAGCGCCCAGAATTGATAAGTTGATTTATTTATCGGTCCCTGCCCACAAATAAGAGGGTAACATCCACCAGTAATGAAATTAGCATGGTAAAAGTCAATTCCTAAAATATTAAGGGTTTTTTGTTTAAACATAAGGTTGATCACCATTAAATCCCTTTTTGACTTTAACTCTATTCTTGTCGATCAATGGAACGTCCACATAATGCTGAAGGTCGTAATGTTTGGCTTGTTTATATTCTTTTGTAGTAGCAGTTCTACATTCATAATTTTCCAATTCACGTACAAACTGTTCCCTGATAGTTGGTATTCCTCCTTGATTTCCAATAGCTTAAAATAAAAACTTTAAAGTAACCGTAATTTAAGAATTAAAGAGGATGTGACCATTCCCGCATTGTTTTAAAGGGACAAAATTTCTCGCGGAAAAACTTAGAGATTTATTTTAGGCTGGTCACTTCAACTTTACTAAGCCTAACTTACATTCGAACCATCCTTTGACTGCTTTATTTGGAGGTTCATTTTTTTGTTCTTCGTATTGGATAAGTTGCATTGGCACATAATATTTCCTTTCCAAGGCATTCTGATCCGGCACAATTTTTTTATGAAGATCATCACCCGCATTCTAAAAATTAAAAAAAAGACTTTTATTTCACTTTTCAAACTGGCCTTTTTCTTCCCGCATTCCTTTTCCTCTTGTTGCTTATGGTCTTTCATCGTCCGAGTCACAAATTGCCAAGAAAGTACACGAGAACCAACAAATTTGCCAGAAACACTTGAAGCGAAACCAGGTTTTAAACGAACAGAAGTGTTGAGAAACGAAGAATACGCCAAAAATTGCCAAATACTTGCAAAACAAACACGCAATGCAGCTCAATTTACAAATAAAAGTGTTGAAGTTTGCTAACAGGAATGTTTATTAGCTAAAAAATTATTGTTTTTATACTAAGTTTTAGTCTGCTCTTACGAAAATTAAATATGTATTTTTAACAATTTTTCCTGATACATAATAGCAACACAAAAAACAAAATTATCTCTCTGCTCAATTAATAGTCAAAAAAAAAATTTAAAAAATATCATAAATTTGAGGTGCATCTTTAGGAGTGGAGCTTTCCAAGACCGAAGATTTTCACTCATCTTTAGGAGTGTATATTTCAAAGGCTCAAAAAATTCGAGACCAAGACGTCACCCCAAGACCAAGGAAAAGAACCTCCAACATAAGACTCAAGATCAAGAGTCATGGACGGTTCTAATTATGGGTATTAAAATCGGGGTGGGGGACGACTATCTGATTATCGCTGATTCGGTATTGAGGTCATATTTTGGGCCACAACTTTTCTGATCAATCAAAGCTCTAAAGGTGCGGATTATTTAATTAGCAGGATTGATTTGATCATCCAACAAAAGGTCACAGCCTGCTAACAATCGTGATTTTCGACTTTATTTGGCACTAATTATCTGTAGAATTTTCGATCAGTTCAATATTAAAAAGATGCCGCATCTCGAGACCTTTCGAATGATATGAGAACTACTCGAATCGAAGGCAAAAATAAGAAAGTTATGGCCCAAAATATGGCTTCGATACTGAATCGTCCTTGATAGGTAGTATTGAGATCAGACACTTTGGAAGGATCTAACTTTGATTTGTGAGAGTAAATCAATCTAGTTTAAATTTTTTAATTTTTATTTTAATTACCTGCCCGTAGTATCAAAATACACCAATCATTTAAAGAAATAAATTTTGAAAATTTTGTTGTAAATATTAAATACCTAAATAAAAATAATTTTTAAAATTCAATTTTAATTTTAAATATTCTTCCAATTTTATTAATAAAAGATAGGTATGTATTATTTTTGGTTGAAAATTTTGTTATTTTTCTTTTAATGAAAATAATTTTTTTCAATAAAAATATTCTCCGCCTCCTTTTTGTCTTGCTATTTTCTTTGAATAATAATTTATGTATATCTTATTTTTTTATTAGGCAAATTGTTTACTTAAGAAAAGCATTTTTTATGGGTAAGATAAATGATTGCCATGTAGAAGAAAATAATAACATCGATTCAAACAAGAGGGCGACGGCATATAAAAAATGGCATACATATCTCTCATATAATAACACGATTTTGCTTGAGATATCATCTCAGTCCGGTCTCTAGTTACGGGGGCAAGTCTTAGTCTCTCTTATTATTTAGACGAGACTGGGAGGGTCATAAATAGTAATCTCACGAGATATCTCGAGAAAAATCGAACTGAGTAGAAAATATATTTTTTGATTAAATTCCAAAATTTTAATTTATTTGTTTTTTTCATTTAAAAAAACAGGCCATAAATAAATTTTAAAGCAAATTTTTTTATCAAAAATGCATTTAAGCAAAAGGCACGGGATTATATTGAGTATTAAGCACAGCAAGAATTAAACACATTTAATTAACAAAAAATCAAATTTTCAAAAAAACTCGAAAATCAAAAAAACAAAAAAAAAACTCTAATTAAACAAAAATTTCAAAAAAATTCTCTAAAATTATTTTAAATTTCTTTGACCTTCTTTTTCTGAATGGCGCACACTTCGAGTTAATTCATTATGAAGACCCTTTAAAACTGGTTAAAAATCATTTATATATTTATTAATATCCCCTTAATAAAATTTCTAGAAATTTCAAAAACTCCCCAGTTAACCCAACTACTAAAACTATATTTTATGAATATAAGATAATAAATTATTTATCAATTTACCTCCTTCCATTCAGCAAAGTAAATTCTACTAAAATTATTGGAATTGAATTCTTCATCATCTTCATCCTCATCAGATTTCTTCCGGTTATGGCGGACATAGAAGTAGCCAATTATAGAGCCAACACAAATACCCCTGAAGGAAAGAAAAAATAATTCTTTTATAAAAATCTTAAAATTTCAACTTACAAGAGAACCAATATTCCAACAATAATTATTGGGGAAATTATCTCCTCTTTGCCTGATTCGTTGTCGTTGGAAGCAGCAATTTGAATAAAGCAAATTGATAGAAGATAACTAACCAAAAGAATATGTCCAACAAACATTTTTAGATATTTTGGGGTTTGAATTGGTGAAGAGACTTTAAAACTACGGGGTTTTAATTAAAAAATACTTGAAATAAATGTATATAAAAATATACAGGCTAATTTAAAACCATGAAAAAAGAATTACAATATTATTTAATTAAACACCTATACAATAATTATATTTATTTAAAAATTTTATTTTCTTAATGTTCCTATTTCTCTATACTTCAGTACCAAGCTCTTGCTGGTAAGCATCGAATTCAGCCTCGTTTTCTGTCGCCACAGTGCAAAAATCATCGTTTTTGACTGAAGCAGTTTCAGGCTCACAAGATTGGGTGTTTAACACAAAACGAATAATTCCACTCTTTTCACTTCAAAAATAAAAAAAATTTTTTTGAATTAGATTAAAAAATTTACCGTTTAGCCAAAGATTTGTTATAAACACCCCAACCACTACAAAGACGATCCTCAATATTATATCGCATATTTTTTCCAAGTTTGTTGTAATCTTCTAATTCGAGCAGTGCAAGGCCTAATTTGTGATACCTTAAAAAATAAATCAAGAATTTGAACAAATTTGAATATAAGATAAATAGATACGATACACCCCCCAGTTTAAGAAACTTCCTAAAAGTTTGCCGACCGGTACCCCCAATATTAGAGAAACCTCTATTTAATATACGTTATTATAAACTGGGTAGACCACTCGATTGGGAAACCCTCCATCTAAGAGACAACCCCATTATAAGAGTATTTATTCAGCCCCAAGGGTGTATCTTATACCGAGGTCCAACGTTAATAAATTTATTTACTCTTCACATTCCAATTGCCACAGAGAAAAGCGTTCCAAATTCTTCAAATGATATCTCTCAGCAAATTGGAAATGATTAAGCAGAATATTAGGTCCAGTAATTAACTCATTACAAATCATCTATATTGAAAAATAACTTTAAAAACAAATTTTTTTCCAAACCTCTTCCAATTCCTTAACAATTTTTTTCATTCCATGGTCACAAGCAAATATAAGACAAGAACGAATTAAATTGTTAGGTACATTGTCTCCAGTCCCATACATAAGCGCCAACAAAGGAGAGAGAACTTGCTCTAAACGAAGTTGATTATATTCCATTTCTGCTTTCAAATTGGAAGAAATTATTGGACGAAGTTTTAATTGACCATATTTCATTCCTATAAAATTAGAGAAAATTTTAATTAATTTTGGAGCTTTTGAATCTTTTTTTTAAATTTTGAAAAATATGACTTATTGTTAGAAGAACCATCGCTTGACAGCTAAGTAAAAAAGGAAAATTTAACTGGTATCACTTAAAAATCTAAAAGCGAGTGAGAAACCAGTGTCGTCCTCTAAGGCAGTTCAGGCACCTACTGAACGTGGTGAGCCATTGCCTAACAATCACTGACAGGAGTTTACTGATAAACGTTTGCCTACAACTCTTAACCCTCATTTTTCAAGAAAATTTACCAGATCCATCACACATCCCGCAAATTTTTCCAAACATTCATTCGCTTGTAGAATTCCAATATTTACATAAATAAATTTTTTATTATCCAATTCAATGCTGGCGTTGAATGGATTACTTGCTTCATATGGACTATCAAAACCAGGCACTGGACATTTATGTTTTAGTTCGTATAACATTTATGTTTTTGTTCGTATAACATTTATGTTTTTGTTCGTATAACATTTATGTTTTTGTTCGTATACACTTCGGAAACCCTAGATGACGAAATAGATGTCGAAATCTATGGGCATTAGGGCGATGACGAAATAGATGTCGAAATCTACGGGCATTAGGGCACTTCGGAAACCCTAGATGACGAAATAGATGTCGAAATCTATGGGCATTAGGGCACTTCGGAAACCCTAGATGACGAAA